GGAGGAAGGGAAAGCAGATTGTTAGCCGCTTTGAGACTCCTTTGGGTAGTGATAAAGCAGGATATCAAATCCAAACTCCTCCTCCTCTTCTTCTTCTTCTTCTTCTTCTTCTTCTTCTTCTTCTGTCCTGAAGCTTCCAGCATTCAGCTCATGGAATGTTCATGAGTTCTAGAGTTAGGAGAAAGATTCTTTTATAAAAAGTCTGTTATCTTGATTTCTTATTCTTCAGGTAAGTTTTGCCATTTCTGCATATTCCAAGAGTTTTTGTATCCATTCTTCCTTGCTGGGACAACTTCTTCTTCTTCTTCTTCTTCTTCTTCTTCTTCTTCTTCTTCTTCTTCTTCTTCTTCTCCCCCCCCCCCCCATTTTTGGGCAAGTAACATTCTTGCCGCTGTAGCCACATACATGAATAAATTTCTATACAATTTAGGTAGTTCTATTCCTATAATTCCCAAGAGAAAGGCCTCTGGGTTTGTTTTTTTACAAATGTTATTTTAAACATCTTTTTTTCATTTCATTGTATATCATTTACCAGTAAGCCTTAACCTTACTACAAGACCACCACATATGATAAAAAGAACCTTCTTTCTCTTTACATTTCCAACACCTATTTGATTTAGTTTTATACATTTTTGCCAGTTTACTTGGTGTTAGATACCATCGATATGAAGGGAGGAAAAAGAAACATTTTTTAAAAATTTGCTCATTTATTTACAATATATTTGTTGAGTCTGACAAGCGCCGCCATGGTAAATGAGTGCACAAAGTCGAAAGTCCTTTAGTGAAACAGTAGGTATATATTTCGGTAATACCTAGGTATATATATATTTTGTTTTTCTAGCTTGATCAAAAAAAAATTATTTCATAACAGGTAGATAGTTAAGAGCTTAGGTGGCTTAAGTGGCGGGCGCCTGGCACCCACCCCCTGAATTTGGTGCCTGGGTGCCCCACACCCCTTGCACCCCCAGGTAAAGATGGCCCTGGTCTCAGCTTCAGTGTTTAAGATGCTTAATGGTTTAGCACATGTACAGAATTACAGTTTCTGTAGCTTCCAGGGAGGCTGAATTACTAATAAGCCAATCTGAAACTGCTGCTATGCATCTGTGCAAGGTTTTCTCTGTCTTGCCTGTCCCTGTTTGAAGTCCCTCGCTCCATGTTAAAAGAGAACTAGTATCTGGATGAGCAGTTTGGGCTTGGATACCTTCACTGTGCTCATGCAAAAGGGCAGTCTTTTCAAAGAGGAACTGTTGTTCACTGGTAATTATTTAACTCTCAACCATCGGGGCTTTCGATACACACCTCCTGCAAATGAGGAAATCTCTCCAGAACCTCAATCAACCCGAATTCTGCCTTTTTATACTATTTGTTAAGGAAAGCCTAAGGCACAAACCAAAAAGCAATAATATTGATCCATGCATGTTGTTCCTTCTCAGAGCCAAGGTTAGAACGGGAACAAACAGAGATTCTACAAAGTCTCTTTTGTGAACAAGGAAATGAGACTTGATTCCATTATTTCCCCTTTAAAGCCATGGCATCACAAAACTGAAACTGGACTCATCTTCTTAACCTGGGTACATGCCTTTATCCTTATCCTTTTTTCTCTTTTTTATGGAGATGATATTTCCCTCTCCTAAACACTGGGATTCAAAGCCTGGCAATTTCCTTCATTGCTCGCTGTTTTGAGCCCTGCTTTGGTACATAATCTACATTGGTCTGGACTGCTTAGGCCTTTGTGGAGGTTGGGATAGTTGCTGGATGCTTGGTATTCTTTTACAGCAGTTTTTGGAAAGGTTGCTTCTTAGGAAGGTTGCTGCTTAAAAATAAAATAAAAATCAGTAACACCTTGTGAAATAGCCACCTCCAAAATCAATTTTTATATAACTTGCCTACTGATATGATCAAGGATTCTCTCAAAAGGTAAATTATAACATGAGGAGCTTATCCTTGAGTGGGGAAGATGATTGCTGCAATCGGGCAGCCCGTGTTGGCTGCTAGGTGCATATTGAGGGATGGGAGCAGGAAGAGGGTAAGATGAAAGGAGCATAGATGAGCACTAGTTCTAAGAACAGGACCAGATGTAATGTTTATAGCCCACCTTTCCTCCACGGAGCTGAAGGTGATTTAAATGTTAGGTTAGGCTATGAGACTGTCATGGAATTCTACTCAATAGTTATCCAGAGCAGAACTCCAATGTATAGTTAGCAGAGTAAAAATTTAAACATGTTGCGGGATTCCCCCAAAATAGACCAGAGGCAATTACCGTATTTTTCACTCTATAAGACACACCAGACCACAAGACGCACCTAGTTTTTGGAGGAGGAAAACAAGAAAAAAAAATATTCTGAATCTCAGAAGCAGAACAGCAAGAGGGATCGCTGCGCAGTGAAAGCAGCAATCCCTCTTGCTGTTCTGGCTTCTGGGATAGCTGCGCAGCCTGCATTCGCTCCATAAGATGCATACACATTTCCCCTTACTTTTTAGGAGGGAAAAAGTGAGTCTTATAGAGCAAAAAATACGGTAATATTTCATCCAGCAGAGCTTTACTGCTACTGAAGGCAAATGAGCATAATGGTCACAAATCCAATACATTCAGGACTGGCCCTGTCCATAAGAAATCCAGTTGCAGCAAAATTAACTTAAATGTACAATAACTTACAGTAAGTCTAAAACCTTAACACTAAGCATCCTATGTACAGAACACCACACCAGAAGGAAAAGAGACAGAGAGAGAAAGTGAAACCAAGGCCTCTTATTATCATGACCTTGAAGAAGAAGATAAGAGAACCAGTTTAAACCAACTGTGCTCAGCCTCTCTGAAGGAATAACCCAAACATCATGAACCTTCTGCTTGTTTCTTTCACACAGAGAAGCTTCCACAACCCTCTTGAATTAATTAGAATAGGAAAGATCTCTACTTTCTGCACTAAGAAATGCAAACTGACAGTGGCTGTCCACTGCCTAGAAGACAGGAATCAGCTTCAGGCATTCCTGGTCTTTTTGGTTTTTTGCAACCAACATAAACAGAGGTGGGATGTCAGAGCGAGAGAGAAAAGAATAAGGATGGGCAAGCGAGCATGAAGGCTCAAGGATCTCCGAGGCTCAAGAGATTTGGTTTTGAAAGGAGGAAGCTGCATGTAACACAGGTAAGAATAATTACAGAATTATGAAAAATTCTGCCGCAGTGGACAGCGAGTTGAATAACACCGCTTTTGTCAGAAGCTGAACCGCAGTGGAATTGAAACAGCCCTGCATGTGACTAACAGAGGTCAGAACAGAAATGGATGTCTTTTCACATCCTTAGCACTATGTAGTGCAGGATGCTGCCCCTTCATCAGCTTTGAAGTAGGATTTAACTGGCCAGCTTTTGCCCTTACCCTCAAGCAGCAAAATATATTGGTTTGGCCTTGACTCGGTTCCAAGGGTCTCTCAAAGTCTAGCTGCTTGTGATTCCCAACACATGGCAGTCCAGGGTTCCCAAAACAGAGTTTAAAAAGAGATTGGCAGAATATGCTAGGCATGTCACATGCAGCTCACACAGAGTGTCCTTCTAACTACTTGAGTATACAGCACTGCTTGCTCGTCCACAGCCACACCTATTTATAAGCTTGAGCAGTGCTAATTTTTCCAGAAAATTAGGTGCTGGGACTCACCATGAAGTTGTTACAGCAAGTGTACGAATGTGCCTATTTTCCAGGGACATCCCTAACTTAAAGAAGTTGTCCCAGTTTCTGATTTGATCCTGGAATGTCCCACTTTTCCTTAGGATGTCCCTATTTTCATTGGAGAAATGTTGGAGGGTATGTTACAGTAAGTGCCACACCTTTTAACAACAACAAAAAGAGGTGCTGGGACTGTGTAGCCTTGAGTACTCCCTGAGAAAAAAACACTGGGCTTGGGGTACCAGAAAACCTGTTCTGTTACCAGCCTAAAATGAGTGCTAATTTGGTGAAATTCAGCAAGTACCATTGTCAGAATGCTAATTAGCAAAATACCCCCTCACCCCAGTGTAGCTGGCATTCCTCAGTTCAACAGAAGTGAAAAAATCCAAGTTTCCCTTTTAGAATTCTTTAAGCAGAAAGACTTATTTTGATTGTAACTAAACTACCCATAAATCTATGCACACATGTATTGATCTTGGCTGCCTCTTAAAAATGACTCTGTCCCAGTAAGTTGGCATATTTCATAAACAAAAAAAGAGCAAATTATCGATCTATCACACACTCTAAAAGTCCTGTGAAAAATCTAGGTTGCTTTTAAGTTCATTCCGTACCTAAGGGAATGAGAAACCCTGAAATGAAAAATAGATATTTTTAAAAGGGGCAGAAATAACACAAGATATATAGCTGCCCTTGCCAATATTTAATCTTTCATTGTAACTCCAATTCAGTATATTGTATCTCTTGTTATATCTACTGATATGCTACTGATAGACTACTTAAAACATTAGTATAACTACTTCTGACATGGAACAGTAATTAATTTAGTTATATGCCAGAAGATAATTAGTTCATTGTGGAAAAATACTTCTATAGCTTGCAAATTGAAACTGCTGTCTGGCACAGTTGGTTTGCTGTGAGCTCAAGCTTAAAGCCACGAAGTTCTGAGGGTGGTTGCACATATACCAGAAAGAAGCTAAAGCATGGCAAAGATTGCTACTTTTCCAAATGTGCACGGACTCTCCATATTTGGAGAGGATAGTTGGCTGCTGTTGGCAAAGCTGGCTGTTGTTTTGTGTTAAAGAAGAATCTGGCTTTCAGCTGGCACCAAGCTCTTCTTCAGGGTTTGGTCATGAGAGCAAAAAAATAAATAAAAATCAAATAAATCTAAACATGGAACTTTCTGGACAGTCAGGAGGTTGGTTAGCTCCCTAGGGAAGTCTAATATCCACTGCAGCTGGCACAGAGATAGCTGGCTTGCATGCAAACATGGCGTTGTGATGTCATGCGTGATGTCACAAACAGATAAGCTCAAAGTCTTGGCAACAAGAAAGTCAGTTAAGAGTCAGACTGAGTCTGGACACAGGCTGGATGTTCAGAACAGGGGAGGATCTACACTCATGGTTTTTAACGTCAAGGAAGATGTAAGGAATGGTTTTCATATTTGGATGAATTACGTCCTACTTTCAATGTTCATAATGCGTTATTAAAATGTGACATCAGAGAGCGTTGCAGAGCAACCAGGAACCAGCATTAGGGAAACAGCATTTTGACGGGGGGGGGGGAACAAAAGTAAGAAACGCTTTAATTTACAAGTATGCTCTGTGACGTTTTAGAACGGCATATCTAATATCGTTCTAATAACAACAAACAGGGTCAGTGTAGACCTAGCTCAGGTGATGATAAACAAGTTTACTTGGGAGCTAGAGTTATGCTATCATAGGAAGTGAGTTTTAGAACAATTTGCAGGTAGGGTTGCTAACTCATGAGCAGCCAACATTTAAGTCCTTTCTGGACATGTTGCCATGAAAAGAATTAACAGTTTATGTGACGGTTTCAGCTAATTGGCAGAAGCATTTGCCTGATTCTGAATTTAATATCCCCTTCCTTAATGGACTTCATCTACTTTTTGTAAAGCATCATGTTGGAGAGCCTTCGAAACCTTGCCTCCAGAAATCTTCATTTTGCCTGTAATTGAAGTTTGGATTTGCTTACCGTATTTTTCGCTCTATAACACGCACCCGACCATAACACGCACATAGTTTTTAGAGGAGGAAAATCTGTAGGCATGCCACCCGTAGGCATTCCCTCCATAACACGCACAGACATTTCCCCTTACTTTTTAGGAGGGAAAAAGTGAGTGTTATGGTGCAAAAAATACGGTACCTCAATTCATATTGATGAATGAAGGATTATTTTCAGTTATTCATAGCAGTATGTGATATCTAGTACATGCAGTCGAATGCTCTACCACTGAGTTATACCCCAAATGCAAAATGCCTTTCTCTTCTGTCTAAACCGAGTATTTTTAGTGACTTCATAAGATGTCCTACACCACCTCGTGCTTTTATATGGTTGATTTAACTATTTTTTCTCTGATGTGGGCCTCTGCCCATCCTGAATTATAAGTCTTGCTGTTTCTAACAGAATACCTGCAAACGTAAAATTATTAATTCTGATTAGTACTCTTTGTCATCTTCTTTTTTCCCTTTTGCATGTTTAAAGTTTGTCTAATTTGTATTTTACTTTTACAGAAAGGGAATTTAACAAAGAACTAGTTCAGCCATTTGTTGTGGGAGGGTGTGGAGTGAACTGGTCTGTAAACAGGTTGGGGGGTGCTGAAGTTCAACAAATGCTTAGTTTGTGGGCGTGTCATCCCCCCCCCATTGTACCAGGTGGCAGAGTGGTTTGTTCAATCTAAAAAAGAGGATGTTCCTTCCCATGTTTGCTATGGTGTGGATCTCATCCAGGGCCGGATTTAGGTTTGATGAGGCCCTAAGCTCCTTAAGTTAATGTGCCCCTTTATATGTCCAGCTGTCCTTTGTCAACAACAAATTGTCACTGTTTTTTTGTGTTGAATGTATGCTATATGGTAATTTATGGACCTAATACGTATCTAAAGCCATTTGCACATAACAAAATATGTAATTGTTGAATTGAAATACAATTAAGAAGTATATTAATAGTGAAATACAATTAAGAAGAAGTATATTTTTGGGAGCCCCCAAGAGAGTGGAGCCCTAAGCTATAGCTTGTTTAGCGTATACGTAAATCCGGCACTGATCATCTCCCAAAAGCTTTTCTTCCAGAACGATTTAGTACAGCGACTGTTGTAGCTGTGGAACATCACATGGTTTCAGAAAACAGTCCATCCCATAATTCGGTCTAGGGAGGGGTGGTCTATGACTTGTAACAAGGTGGTTGACTGACTTCTGATCCCTATGTACCATGACATGGTATTGAAGCGACACAACAAGAAGCAATGGTGGACTATGCCTGTTGATGATTTACTGCATTGTATGAGATTATACAAGGGACGCGGGTGGCGCTGTGGGTTAAACCACAGAGCCTAGGACTTGCTGATCAGAAGGTCGGCAGTTTGAATCCCTATGACGGGGTGAGCTTCCGTTGCTCGGTCACTGCTCCTGCTAACCTAGCAGTTTGAAAGCACGCCAAAGTGTGTACTGCTCCAGCGGGAAGGTAAACGGCGTTTCCGTGCGCTGCTCTGGTTCACCAGAAGCGGCTTAATCATGCTGGCAACATGACCCGGAAGCTGTACGCCCGCTCCCTCAGCCAGTAAAGCAAGATGAGCGCCACAACCCTAGAGTCGGTCACAACTGGACCTAATGGTCAGGGGTCCCTTTACTTTTATGAGATTATACATTTCAGAACCAACTTAAAAAAGAATTTTTTTTTAAAAAAAACAAGGCTCAGTTTCACACATTTTACAAAAATCTGCCTTAGCTGTGGTGAATGCCAGACACAAGATCTGAAACCAGTCAGAATTGTTTTGTTTTGTTAATGCTTGTCTGTCAAAAAGATAATACAAAGTGGATATAATTTAAATAAAAGTGGAGTCTTTGAGAGTCTTGGCCAAGACGGCCAATAACTACCTTCATTAATTTTTCCTTGGGTTAGGTATTCAACTTTTTTCTTTTGCCCACAACCCCATACCAAGTCGCAGATTCAGCCAAAAGGTTTTCAGATTTGTAAAGTTCCAGAATGGATTTGGCATGGGCATGAAAATATTATTTTTCTTCTGTGTGGGACTGAGATGGATATGGGTCCAGCAAACTGCAAGCAAGTTGGCTTTCATCACTGAAAGAAGTCCTCAGTGAGGAAATAAGCAAGTCCAGCTAGGCTGTAGATGGTTTGATGGTAGAACTCTTCCGTGGATTGGCTGGGATGATTGGCATGCCTCTTCTGTTGTACAGTTTGTCTAGGTGCATTAAGTTCTACATCCACTTCATCTGCTACTTTCTTGCACTTCTCTGCTATTGTGCTGAAGGTCTCTTAACAAGCTTCCCTGTGTTGTATTACACCCAGCAAGTACTGCATATGCGCTTTCATTTCCATTACATCTAACTTTTCACAGCTTGGGTGACTGGCTATGGCTCTGAAGAATATTTGCTTATAATCACAAGGCAATCAGTCAATACAAGTTGATCTCCATGAACACGCAACAACTGGTATGAAAGTTTTCTTCAGTTGTGAGACAATGCTTGTGTGATTTGCTGCAAACACACAGATGCTCTTGTATTTCTAAGTCCACCGTTTTTCACACAGCATTGGTCTGTTGGTATTAGAGGTCATTTTTGGATAAACTAATGTATTTTCTTATGATGACCTTAATTGTGTCAACTGTATTACACATATCACTTGCGCTGTTCAGATAATTAACAGAGAGATTAAGTCTATGGGATGAGCGGTAGGGGGCAAACATTGCCCGAGGATAGAATGCCTAGATTTGTGCTTGAACCTTCTTTTCCTGTCCTGCTTCTAAACTCATTGTATTGTTGTCCAAGTAACTTATTGAGACCTGGTCAAAAATTAGAACAAACAGGTATGATTGTTTTGGATATGACTATTGCAGTTTGGTCTGAGACTGAAATCAACCCAAGAATTCCTCATGTACATATGCATTCTCATCATTTTATTTCACAAATCTTTCACCTAGAGATAGTTGTTCTATACCAGGAATAGCTGCTGTTTCATCTGCTAAAACTGAGAATTTCATGAGACATTAGCCTCCATAACTATTTATTCACTCGAACGTTTCCCACACAATTTCATTAACACAGTCTATGTTTGGGCAGATGTGTACTTAGCACTATCACCCCCCAGTTTCAATAATAATAATAATAATAATAATAATAATAATAATAATAATAATTGCATCCCCTGCCTCAGCATGAAACTGTAAAAGGTCTATCGTGCTAACTGTGGTATTGGTCTTACGATGGACCAAGACCATGCGCATTGCTTGATATTACAGTGTACAGCTTTTGTTTAGTTGCCTGTATAGCTTGGAAGCAAAAATTGTTTAAATTATTCCTCTGAACATGTCACTGTTTCCCTCCACCTCCCAAATAAATAAACAGACTCAAACCCACAGGAGATGAATTGGTGACCTAAGGGAATAACAGCTGAGGAATATCTAGCCAGGGCATCACCATCCAACTCCGACCAAAGGAGCGAATTCTAGGTGACTAACCAAGGAAGCCTCATTGCACCCATAGGCCACAGCATGTCAGGCGGTACTCTTTAGCCTCTACAAAAGCTTCTGACTCAAGCAGTGGTGGAGGAGAACACCACCCATTGTCTGCCATGAGCAGCAGTGGCAGCACCATGATGGAGGTGGGAGAGCCATGGCAAATCTTTTGCCCACAAAACCCAATTGCATACCCTGCCATTTTGCCGCTGCCCAAGGCTATCGTAAGACACCATTCACTGTGCACGAGTAAAGATTAAATACGTCTTAATTGATGCATTAGGGAGGGAGTGTGTTTGGGTGGGTGGGTGTGCATGTGCGTCCTTTGATCTACTTTTGTGCATTATTAGAGTTTTTGATTTCCAAATAAGAAAGTGGAACTAAAGTAGAACAAAAAAAGTAACACTTCTGCAGCAACTACTATTCCTGTTTACTCCCATCCTCTTATTAAAGAGAACATAACCCTACAACAGTCTTATGATTTTTCTTCCTTTCTTTGAAGCACAATTAGTTTTCATTTCCATCCATTGATGCTGTCAGGCAAAGCTGTTGCTGGGTGGATCACGACAGAGGGGAGTTCAATTAATACATCGTTTCTGAAACTTATCTGACAATGAACACTCTCCCCCCGTCTCTCTCTCTCACACACGCACGGAATAAACTGTGTATTCAGTTTGCCTGTGCAGTCATATCTAAGTCTCCCTTGGCTGCTAGCCAAGACCTCTAAAAACCCATTAAGGCTATTAGAGAAATTATTTCCTTTCCATTTTGAGCTGGGTAAATTTCACAGTTATCGCAGGCAAGAGGAAATGAATTGGGAGGATATCTGTCTAGGGATGGCTTGCCCTGTAGTAGGAATTAAGCCAAGGAAATGTAAAGCCCCATTTCCCTTTGTGCCATTTGCACAAGAGAGCCGGTGGGTGGCAGTGTAATCCAAGCCTTGTGCACCAAAGGTCTCTAGGGAGGAAATCTCACGCACTTCTGACTGGCAGCTGTGAGCAATGGAAGCTCTTCTCCTTGCAATTATAGACTTTACTGGAAATCAACTTTGCCTGGAAAAAAAGCAGTGTGTAAACCAATATTTTCCATGCACTGCAGCCTGCCGTAGAAGAGACATTCCAAATGACGGCTTCGGGTGCAGTGCTGTGACCTGGCAAATGCTAGAAAACACTTCAGATGAATCCCGGAGCTTTGTCTGAACAATCACAGTGTTGTGTTCAGACTCCATCGTGCAATGCCACTTACTTGTTTGATGTTAGTCAACAAAGGGCTAATTTTCTCAGGGCAGAGAATACAATTTGGACAGAATCTTCTATTTAGGTTTTGACTGATTTGTAGCTTTGCATCCATGATTAGACCAAAGGGGAAGTGAGGGGACTAGTAGCCAGCCTGAGAAGTATTGACCAGGCCAAGGCCTGCCTAAACAACACATAGCTGAACATAACCAACCTGCCATGTTGTGGTAGTAACAACAACAACAACAACAACACTAAACAATAAATAAAATAAAAATTTGCACCCCATCCACCTGACTGGGTTGCCCAAGCCACTCTGGGCGGCTTCCAACATATACAAAAACATAATAAAACACAGATAATGGAGGCATATAATTCGGATAAGAAAATTGGCTTCCAGGTGGAAAAATCAAAATTAGAAACAGAACTGTTAGAACCCAAAACTAAGATTTTGTCAAGGATGTATAACTTGCTGTTGAAATGGAATACTCAGGATGAAACGGTGAAATCTGCTATGATTAAATGGGCACAAGATGTTGGACATAACATAATGATGGCTGACTGGGAACAGTTATGGACCACAGGTATGAAGTTTACGGCATGCAATGCCTTAAGAGAGAATATTATGAAAATGATTTACAGGTGGTACATGACACCAGTCAAGCTTGCAAAAATCTATCATTTGCCCGATAATAAATGTTGGAAATGTAAAGAAACTGAAGGTACATTCTTTCACCTTTGGTGGACGTGCCCAAGGATTAAGGCTTTCTGGGAGATGATCTATAATGAACTGAAAAAAGTATTTAAATATACCTTCTTGAAGAAACCAGAGGCCTTTCTCCTGGGCATAATCGGCCAATTGGTGCCAAAGAAGGATAGAACTTTTTTTATGTATGCCACAACAGCAGCAAGAATACTCACTGCAAAGTATTGGAAGGCACAAGATCTACCCACTCTGGAAGAATGGCAGACGAAGGTGATTGACTACATGGAACTGGCGGAAATGACTGGCAGAATCCGAGACCAGGGAGAAGAGTCGGTGGAAGAAGATTGGAAGAAATTTAAAGACTATTTACAGAAATATTGTAAAATTAATGAATGTTAGAATGATGTTGGATAGAAATTAAATGGTTTTTAGCAGAAATATTATAAGGGAATATGAAAAATGGATTACTAACAGGTTAAATTTTATGTTACAATACTTTAAGATTAGAGATTAGGATAAACAAAGAGGGGAAGGATTTGCTGAACCAACAAACTGAACTGGAATACAAAAAAGGGAGGCATGAGGAGGTCCGGGAAACAAGCTAATGAAAAATAAGCAATTGAAAGATTGACTTGTTTTTAATTAATTTTATTTTGTATTTTTCTTTTTTCTATTTTTATTTTGTAATATTTTGAAAATCTTAATAAAGATCTTATAAAAAACAAAAAAACATAAACATAATAAAACAGCATGGTTTAATGTTTTATTATGGTATGTCTTCTTGCCCCTGTTTCTAAAGTTCCACATAGGTAAGAAAAACAGGGTAAGTGTTCAGGCTTTGATTGTCAGTGGTATGCATTTGGCATGAGTTGTGAAGCTTGGTTTAAAATGCCTTTTTAGTCAGTTCTGTGGACCTACAGAATAGAGTTGCATATGCAACTTGCTGTGCAGCTGCTGTTACTCAAAACACAACTGTGTGCTAAGCAAAGTTTCCCTCCGTTAAATAGGAGTGGCTACAACTATACGAAGATGATGTAAGTTTCCAGCAGACATTTAAAGGTTAAATCAGAAGGCACTTGCTGAATCTCTATTGGCAGAGCATTCCACAGAACTGGGCTCACTTTCTTGCTGCTGTCAGATGAGCCTTGCCAACTTGGGGAATGACCAGCCACACTTCTGCGGATGATCTGAGTGAAGGAGCTGAGATATAAGGAGCTTGAAAACATTTCTGTTTACCCAGGCATTTGATGGTAGAAGAATCCTGTTCCTGGCAATCTTGAGAGCCCTAGATAAAATCATGTTTTAAACCGAAACTGTTTTAAGAATGCTTAACTGTTTTAGAATGCTTAAAAAACAATCCGAATGTGTTTGCTTCCCTGAGACGCTTCAGGAGGAAAGGCAGAATAGAAATTTAATAAATAAGATATGTATCCTAAACCAATGAAGTTTGGGGCTTTGGCCCAACACCAGTTCAGGCTTTATAGCAGGAGTAAAGGTAAAGGTAAAGGGACCCCTGACCATTAGGTCCAGTCGTGGCCAACTCTGGGGTTGTGGCACTCATCTCGCTTTATTGGCCGAGGGAGCCGGCGTTCAGTTTCCGGATCATGTGGCCAGCATGACTAAGCCGCTTCTGGCGAACCAGAGCAGCGCACGGAAACACCGTTTACCTTCCCGCCGGAGCAGTACCTATTTATCTACTTGCATTTTGATGTGCTTTCGAACTGCTAGGTTGGCAGGAGCAGGGACCGAGCAACGGGAGCTCACCCCGTCGCGGGGATTTGAACCACCGACCTTCTGATCGCCAAGTCCTAGTCTCTGTGGTTTAACCCACAGTGCCACCTGCGTCCCTACAGCAGGAGTAGTCAACCTTTTTATACCTACCGCCCACTAATGCATCTTTCTTGATGGTAAAATTTCCTTACCGCCAACCAGTGCTTGATGGAAGGAGGATTCAGCTTGTGCCGTAGAAACCCCTACCGTCCACCTAGAATCCTGAAACATCCACTCGTGGGCGGTAGGGACCAGGTTGACAACCCCTGCTTTATAGTCTCACTTCAAGGGTGAGAGGTTTCTGAGTGATGGGACATGAACTCCTATGGACTGCAGTAACAGTTCCCACGCAGCCATCCAGTCTGGGCTGATGTTGTGCTGAGTACCCAGGCAGGCAGAGATGAGCCAGGTCTGGTCCGCCCATTTACTCTACCCAAGTCTCAGTATTATGTACCAGGTTGGCTCACTTATCTACAATTAAATCGTGCATAGCCATGGTTTTATTACTGACCAGCTTGGCATTCAGCTGCAGAACCACCAGACTGTTGGCATCAATGGTAGAGCATTCATTAGTACCAGGGATAGGAGGGAGCTTCGTGGGAGATATTAGGCTCAAGTGGCACTGTGGGTTAAACCACAGAGCCTAGGACTTGCCGATCAGAAGGTCAGCGGTTCGAATCCCCACGACAGGGTGAGCTCCCGTTGCTTGGTCCCTGATCCTGCCAACCTAGCAGTTTGAAAGCATGAAGTGCAAGTAGATAAATAGGTACCGCTCCGGCGGGAAGGTAAACGGCGTTTCCGTGCGCTGCTCTGGTTCGCCAAAAGCGGCTTAGTCATGCTGGCCACATGACCTGGAAGCTGTACGCTGGCTCCCTTGGCCAATACAGTGAGATGAGCGCCACAACCCCAGAGTTGTCCGCGACTGGACCTAATAGTCAGGAGTCCCTTTACCTTTACCTATCATCAACCTTCCAACATGCCTCCTTTCAGTCACTGAGATTGAACCCCCTCCTTCAATACCCTTCTGCCGAGACACACCCTGTGTATAGGACACTCTTCTAGAAAAACCCAGTGCACGATTTATCATGCTACCAGGCCACGTAGACATCAATCCACAATAGTCAAGAGCACATACAGTCCACCATAAACATGCCAACCCTCCAGCTGAGGAAACAAAACAAAACAGTACATTATACAGGCATCCCATCCCATCTTTCTTCTGGGGCATAAACAGTAGATTTTCTACACCCAGGAGTTTTAAACCCTCTAGGACCCCTCAATTTCTCATACTGGGTACTCCCCAAAAGCACAAACCTACGTATGTCTCCCTCTCACCCTTGTGACAACCCCATGGTCTTGCCAGATGGCAGCCCATCACGTTGGACGAGCCTTGAAAATGAAAAGTGATAACAGCTGCACAGTCTTCAGGCACCATTGCTCTCAGCTGCTAGGCTTGTCTGCCTGGTGGCAAGAGGCTTGCTTGGTGGTAATTGGCAATTGGAGGCAGGTGCACGGCTAGCAGGAGGTATGGAGGGCAGATGTTCAGAGGTGTTTTCGGTTCTCCTGCTTCCCATTCACCAGGCCGTCGCAAGCATCAACCTCTTCGTGTCCTGGACACACCGAGTTGGACGAGCCTCTGCTTTATAACTTCTCCAATGTGTCACTTTAGGTGTTCACACAAAAAAAGTTTCTCCTCATTGAACCTGCATGTTTTGGCATGAGAATCAAAGCTCGTGAAAATTTGGCTCATCTCTAGCTATACTGTAGCAGCATTCAGTCAACCAGAAAATCACTCCCCCATGATTCCATCCCAGAACACTATTTTCATATACACCTTCATGCTAGCCCCTTCCTTTCTCTCCATTGACTGCACCCGTCCTCCATGAACTAGACTGTAAGCTTTTTGAGGCGACCTGTTTCCCCCCCTGCTCCCATGTAAAGTCAGATACTATGTAAAACCTGCTAGCATACTAGGCCAAATGTCCAGCTTGACAGTCCTCTATTTGAAGGCACCCTCGCTTTGAAGGCTTGTCCAGTCCAGATCTGGTTTAAAGACAGATAACAACAAGAAAGCAGAGCCAGGCCTTGAACTAGCTTTTTAGCAGTTAGCGCTGCAAGAGCAGACTGAACAGGCACATACCGTATTTTTCTGTGTATAGCACGACCTCATATATAAGATGACCCCTATTTTTGGGAGCCCTCAACAGCCGTTGAGCTTCTTTTGTAAGTTCGCTGAGCTGTTGAACAGCTTTTTGACTATCCTCCGCTCTGGCTGACGGAACCGGTGCCGTAATACACTGCATACTGGCACTCACCAAATACTCTTCCTAAGCCGGGAAGAGCGGGTATGCAGCCTCCTCTCCGACATTTCCCTGCTACCGCCGCAGCACCAGCCCTCGCTTACTTAGCCTATTAACCTGTGTATAAGATGACTCTCAATTTACCACCAAAAGAAAAATAAGAAAAAAGGTCACCTTATATATGGAAAAATACGGTAGGTCACCTGCTCACCATCTTCCCAATTGCCACTATGATGAAATGCATTGCATTTTTAAAAAACTAAATTATTTCTAAGCATGCATTTATATATTTAAAGTAGCACGGACAAATATTATGCAAATATTTCTCTTGTTCTATCCTCTTTTCCATGATGCAATATCTCATTTTTCTTTTCATTTTGGTAATGTGGCAACCATAACTCGTTTTACCACCGCCAATAATAGTCATGTGGCACACAACAGATTGTTGATAATAATCACAAGTATCTCTTATGTATCACATTAAGTGCTTCCTCACCCACAATAATACAACAACCAGACTTAACATGGACACTGGTACCAGAGCCTGCAATAAACCCAGATGCCAACTTTGCTGCCACATACACCCAGACAACACCATTACTGGACCCAACAACATCAAACATACCATCTCAGGCCTATTTAATTGCTCATCTTCTAACATTGTGTATGCCATCAAATACCAACAGTGCCCTTCAGCTCTCTATATTGGATAAACAGGCCAGACCCTACGCCAAAGGATAAATGGACATAAATCTGACATCAGGAATCACAAGACAGAGAAGCCAGTAGGAGAACACTTCAATCTCCCAGGACATTCAGTACAAGATCTCAAAGCAGCTGTCTTATTACAAAAGAATTTCAGAAATAGACTTGAAAGAGAAGTTGCTGAATTACAACTTATTACTAAACTGAAAACTATGGAGAGACCTGGTGTGAATAGAGATACAGTGGTGCCCCGCAAGACGAATGCCTCGCAAGACGGAAAAACCGCTAGACGAAAGGGTTTTCCGTTTTGGAGTTGCTTCGCAGGACGAATTCCCCTATGGGCTTGCTTCGCAAGACGAAAATGTCTTGCGAGTCTTGAGATTTTTTCCGCTTCCCCCTTTATCTACACTGCTAAGACTTTAATAGCCTTTAATAGCCTTTTAGCAGCTCATCCCTAAGCCATTAAGCCTTTAATAGCCGCTAAACCGCTAATAGCGCTAATCCGTTAAGCTGCTAATAGGGTTGCTTCGCAAGACGAAAAAACCGCTAGACGAAGACTCTCGCGGAACGGATTAATTTCGTCTTGCGAGGCACCACTGTATTGGATTCTTGTCTCATTACACATGCTAAAGCTATTTTTGGTCATCTGCATATTATCCCTCGCTTTTTCCTGTAGGACTAATTGCAGTCATTAACAGTCGTCAACAGATTTACCATACCCATTAAGTCAATCACCCATCTCCTGCCACCCTTCTGAGAAATACTCCACCCTACCCTCCCACTATATAGAAGGGTCTGGTGACTTCTGTTTCAATGTATCTGAAGAAGTGTGAATGCACACGAAAGCTTATACCCAAAACTACTTAGTTGGTCTCTAAGGTGCTACTGGACAATTTTTTTATACCTAGCATTAGTTACAGTTGGGTATGAGGATGAGAGGGTTGCATCAAACGCTTCAAAGGAAATATGGTTTTAAAGAAGGAAAAGAGGTAGCCCCATACAGAGATTCTGGGAGGCAGTTCCAAGCACAAGGGACAAGAAAGAAGAAAGAGTAGAGCTGTTGGAGGGAGCAAGAAATGATATTTGGATGGCCAAAGACAGCATAGCTGTCAACTTACAGATTTGAAAATAAGGGATCAGCAGCCTTGAAAATAAGGGACCAGCAGCCAAAATAAGGGACCTGCTGCCTCACCTGTTCCAGGCACTCCAGTCTTCCTGTCCTCCTGCAGTCTGGTCAAACTCATACTGGTAGCTTTGAGAACACTGTTCAACCAACTTTGTAACCAGAGGTTCAACTGAATAGAATCTGAATCACATGCACCACAAGGCCTATGCAGCCTCAACTTAAGATGGCTCCCTGGCCTGGCTTTGCACTGCAAAGTTTGCAGCAGCACATACAACAAAATGGCGTCCAGCATTCAAAAAACCCCTCAGCTTACATTAACTAGCCACACACAAGGCATGCAAGCTCCACCCCCTCAGTCGTTCTTAGACTTCTCATTGGGTGAGCAACACAGCCAAGCAACACAGTTGGAGCCTCCCTCCTCCCTGGCTGGGAGGGAGAGGAGCTGCTTCCTTTGAAATTTAAGGGACATCATTTAAGGGACATTTAAGGGACATCCATCAATAAGGGACAGCAGTGGGACATGGCGCTGGAATAAGGGACTGTCCCTTCAAATAAGGGACACTTGACAGCTATGAAAGACAGTGGTGTTGGAGGACTGAAACAGTGAAAAAGGAAGAAGAGATAGCAATTGATCAAATACATCTCTCCAGAGACCATTTTATGTAACTTTCCGGTCCTCCGCCATCCGTCATCTTGATTCCGAACTCTGGGCCCATAACCAAAAATTGTTAGTTAAATTCAGCTCCAGTCCTCCGAGCTGATATGGCTCATCTTGGCTTGAGCCCAGCAGAGTATTCCCAGAGTCCGCAATGAAAGCATGAAGCAGGTATGGTGCTACATTGCTAAGCTTTATTTCTAAGCTATGCTGAGAGCACACAAATATACATCTTGTCTCTGTGAGAAGCAGAGAGCAACTCCAACAAAGAAATGACAGAACAAAGGAAACAGGAAACCAGTAAACGTCACATCCCGTCTCCCTTTCCTGTGGGAACCCAACAGTATCTGCACTGTGGAATGAAAACATAGTCCTGTGACTTGCAGCAGCTGCTCAGTGAGAGAAACAGAAACTAACAGTTCTATCCCTGATGATTGGGTGCAGTTTACATATTACTATTTATAATGGTGTCTTGTCCTATCCACACAGAAGAGACATTAAAACAAAACAATACCGTGCATTGCTTCCAGGAGTCTCTCCCCCTTGAAAGAAATTGTATGCACCCATCCTGTATGCGTAATGCTAGGTATGTGGTAACTGAAAAAATACACATGTTCTTTCTCTGTTCATTCCTGCCTTTACTTTCCTCCTTTTTCTCTGTTGTCTCTTCCATGCCAACTTGTAGACTATTTCTTGTACTCTGTGACTAATAGCAATATTATTGTTTAAGACAGTATTAATTATAAAACCATACAGACAACAAATAAGGAAAATCCATTTCTGAAAAATGAATGCAACCAGTGAAGACAAATATCCATTCCTAATAAATACTTATTTATTTTTGTTTGAAGTTTTTTTTTTTTCCTGGTTTCCCTAGCCTAGCAGTATTTTTCAGTTCCATTGATTTAAGCAGTGGCTATTGGCAGTTACAAATGAATGACGACAGGAAATGATTGAAACTCCTTATTTGCCATAAGGATTCCCACACACACTTTCATTTTAATGTAATATGACCAGAAATTACTAGTTCTCCAGCTACATTTCAAAGATGAATGGACAATGTTCTCTCTCTCTCTCTCTCTCTCACACACACACACACACACATTGGCAAGAAACTTGTGTGTCACCTGCATGATGACGAACTAGTACTAATATAGTATAGGGAGAAAAGAAGTTGCGATAAATGTGAGAGACATCAGAGTGGCCCATTAAACTCCAGGTAACAACTTCATAAAAAGGAATACACATACACACACACACACGTTTTAGAATAACTAGGAAACATTGTTGGCAGTCTTTCTGTAGTGGATGATTTTCTCTTCTACTTATGGCACATTTTTTATTGTGTGATGAATGGATCTAGTCTGTGTTTATGATCATTATCAGCAGAATTCTTGCTCAGAAACGTCCTAGAGATTGTGTTCATAATTACCCAATACGAAATTTGTCCAACTCGTATTGCTTGGCTATGCTACTAACTACGCATAATGTCTCCCATAATTTGTTTTTATTTCTGGGAACGTGAAACACAGTTCTGCCACATATGTGGTCAGGATGACCAGGATGCTTTGTAAACACTTGGACAAAAGTTATTTCATGTTGGCCTCTACGTATTTAAATTGTTAACATTTACTGCAACATTATTTCATCTTACTCTCCATGAAATAAGGAGGATAGACCTCTCCTTGATTTCTGTGAAACTACCTGAACTACAAAGCCAGCGCAGATGTTCTTTAATGTTCTTTAACAGATGTTCTTTAACCCCTTTGAATGCCAACAACTAAATAACCAGACTTCTTATCTATTTCGGTTAATTTTCTTGATCATTTATTGCAAATGTTGTATGTGGTTGTTCTCTCTCCTGTTCTTAAAACCTCTCTTCCTCCAAGAGTATTTGGGTTGTGAGTTTTTTTGGTTTTTGTTTGGAATGGAGAAGTGAACTCCAAATCAGCTGTGAGCCATGAGTTATGCTGGATAAGAATGGATTTGCAGTTCATGTCAACTTTTGCATGCGCCTGTTGTTTTTGCATTTAAAAACAAGAATCATGTGAAAATTTGCTTTTAAATAAGTTTATATATACAGTGGTACCTTGGTTTTCGAGTGTCTCGGAAGCCAAACGTTTCAGTTTTCAAACGCCGAAAACCTGGAAGTGAATGCTTCCACTTTTGAACATGCCTCAGAAGTCGAACGGCTTCTGAGGCGCATTTCTCAATTTTCTCAATTGAATTTTCCAACCGCTCATTGCGCTTCGGTTGTCGAATGTTTCGGAAGTCAAATGGTCTTCTGGAACGGATTACGTTTGGCAACCAAGTTACCACTGTATGTGTACTTGAAATGTATTTTTCTTCAAATTACACACGGATAAACCCACTTTCTCTCAAAAAGTGCATTTCAAAATACAGCAATATCTTTATATGGCTTTTAAACTTAAAACGACAATGCAATGTTCACACAAGTGCAAAATCCCATGAATATCTATATTCTGATCCACACCTTAGTCCAGGAGGTGGCAATCAAGCAGTGTGGTGCTTTGAAGCCACTAGCTCCCCGCCCCCCAACCTGGCAGACAACCTTTGACAGGTGGGTGGGACTACCTGCCTCTCAGTCACCTAATGATGTCCATTGAATGACATGTAGGTGGTACCACACGCCTGTCAAAGGTGGTCCATGTGGTGGGGGAGATAAAGATCTGGTCTGCTAGCCAAAAAAGGGTTCTACACCCCACTGTATTGCATGCAAAGTCTAAGATCAACCAAAAGATCTCTTTAATGAAATTATTATCTATTTCTGTTTGTTTGTTTAAAAAAAATGGGACAGGAAAACCATCTATTTTTTATCCAGCCCTATCAGAAATCCTTCCATCCATATATGTTTCCCTACAGGAATCCAGGTTTCTTTTCCTAAGACTGAAATATTTTTCCTGTGTGGCCTCAGGAAAGGCACTTCTGCCTGGTTCTTTTTCCTTGTATGTAAATCCAGCAATCATACCCGAGGGGGAAATTTTAATTCATCACTTCTCCGACCACATCACTTCTCACAGTAGACTTATCTGCTTTCCACATTATCTGATAATAGCCCCACTCCCCTTAATGTAGTCTGCTACTCCTTCGACTCTGCTAACTTATTTTTATCCTTTTTCAATGTCACAGCAGTTTTTGACATTATTATGCTGACAGGGCGTGTCATTTTCCAACTGAAGCTCATCTGCAATTTTATATTAACACCCATGTCTCTGGTTTAAATATTAAACTGACTTCTCAACAAGCTTTGCGTAGCAAGAGCTGGCTATGTTGTAGCTTGCTTCAGTGATCATTTCCAAATTATACGCTTCCCCTCCACCGCCACCTTCCTAGGCCTTCATTCAAGTTCTTATGCTTCCATTCCATCAACCTCAGCTCTGGCATTACATTTTTCCTCTCATGAATTTAGTTGGAATTATTCTCAACACTAGGCCTTGACAAAAAGAAATATTCCCTACTATTTGCTTAGGTTGTCAAATGCGAGGTTTCAAAAAATCCATCTTTGTACTTGTCAGACCAGTCATGACTCAGATGGCAAGTCTTCTGGGTTGTGTTGACTGCTGCCCCATGTGGTGAAGCCCTTGAGACTGCTGAGTGGAAGGAAAAGCGGCCGTGTTGTTCTTGCAGTCCAGCTTCCATCATGGCTCTACCTCTCAAGAAGGCTCCCCCTGACCAGGCCTGCCTATAAAACAGGGCTGGGAAACCTCCATCCAAATGTGGACATTGCTGTAGAGCAACTGTCTCCAAGCGGATGTGAGAGCGATCTGGCTGCAACATCTGTCACCCCATTGATCGCCAGGGTTGATTCGGCTGATCTGGCTGGCTAGGCGGGTGTCCCCTCCCTCACTGCTCCATGTGCGTCCCTCCCGAAGCTGCACGCTTGGTGGAAGAGGACGACCATCCCAGATAGAAGGAGTGTACCTGTGCTGGTCCCAGGGGACTAACCGAGAGGCAAGGTCCGAGTCCAGTCTGAGGTCGATGGTGCGGTATGGAGGCTGTCCGTCAAAGCTGTAGCTGGGTCCAAGGCAGGGAGTCGGGTGGGGTCAGGAACTCTGGCAGAAGAGCAGGGCAGGGTGCAGGCAGGAACAGGCTAGCAACAACGTTGCTCCCGCAACCTGGGACTGGGCAGGCTGGCCTTTATCTCCTCTGAGGCATAGGGCGGCCCCGGTCCACAGGTGACTCGCCTCTCCTGGCCTGGAGGCGAGCACTCCTCCTGCGAGAACTTAGTTCCCTCCACCTCTCTGCCCTGTGCCTCTGCAGCTCAGGAGAGTTACTGGACCCACAGACAACCTCACCTTCCCCTGACGGGACTGAGAATGGAGCACCTGCAGGCAATGGGTCTTCCATCACTTCAGGGGCCAGAGCAGACTCAGCTGGTGCCTGCACCTGAGGATCCAGCACAGGTGAGGACCCTTCAGGCTCAGGCCCCAGCCCCGGCTCAGCTGGTTCTGGAGGCAGGGACTCCTGTGCAGGCTGGGATTCCTCACATTCAGCCTCTGAGTCCGAATCCCAGGCTATCACAGTACCGTTCTTCGGTCAAGGGTATATAATAGCTGTGCTCCCCTGCTATAACCTCCAAAGAAGCTCAACTGTCTCCAACCTAGAGCCCCCCAGATCGTTTGAACTACAGTTCCCATCAGCCTTAGCAACAGGGGCAGCACATCCTGTTTTGTCACTTGAGGCAAAACGGGAAGTGCCGTGCCACTGCAACCCTGCTGAAGCATCCTTTGCCTACATTGCATTGTGGCGTTGCAAAATGGCGGTGGTGACGGTAGATTCTGATGAGATCTCACCAGAAATCAGCACTGGTGCCAGCCCTGCTTCTCTGGTAGCAGTGAAGGTAAGACTGCTCCTTCACTCCACCTCATGGCTGCCCTGCCTAGCCACAATGGCCAGGAATGATGGGGATTGTATTCTTAAGATATCGGGAGGTATCCAGGTGGGGGAAAGCTGCTGTAGAAAATGTACATTTGATGTCATAGCACATATTGCAACCTGCGCCTCTCCCTTCCAAGCCAGTATAATGCCAGACATGTTCCAGCTGCTGTGTTCCTGCCAAGCCTAGGACCTCCTGTGTCTCACTTACGTAGATATTTGCAAAACCCACGGTGCCCTTAATAAGCTTCCACACTCAGGCTCTATGGCTCAGCCTCAGTTATCCATCCGTAAATAACAGTGATACTCCTTTGAGTGCTGTTATGAAAGGTCAATATACATTTCAAAAAAGAGTTATTATAAGAGAAGACTTGAATACCTGCCTCCTTCTCTCCTGACAGTAGTAGCCTGGGATAATGATTAATTATGTGAAACAGAGCGGGATGCGGGTGGCGCTGTGGTCTAAACCACAGAGCCTACGGCTTGCCGATCAGAAGGTCGGCGGTTCGAATCCCCGCGATGGGGTGTGCTCCCATTGCTCGGTCCCTGCTCCTGCCGACCTAGCAGTTCGAAAGCACGTCAAAGTGCAAGTAGATAAATAGGTACTGCTCTGGTGGGAAGGTAAACGGCGTTTCTGTGCGCTGCTCTGGTTCGCCAAAAGCAGCTTAGTCATGCTGGCCACATGACCCGGAAGCTGTCTGCGGACAAATGCCCTCGGCCTATAGAGCGAGATGAGTGCCGCAACCCCGGAGTCGTCCGTGACTGGACCTAACGGTCAGGGGGTACCTTTACCTTTGCCTTTACGTGAAACTGGCATCAATCAGGTTGGAACAACCTATGACCCACCAATCCTAATGCAGCCCACCAAACTTTCTATGGCCTGCTCTTTTTTTGTGGGTTTGGCAACCAGGTCCCCCATTTCTGCAGTTCAAGGCAGCCTGTAAAAAGTAGATATGTACATCAAGTGCAGGACCCAAATCCCGAGGCGAAACAGAGGGATATTTGGCTTGTCTGAGGTGAACCAGGATCTGTATGATGTGGCATAACTTGAATCAGGGATCTTTAAAGCACCTTGGCAACTCCGACATGGAAAAAATTACTGCAGACAAGCATCTGCTAAAAGTGAAAGTGATGTCTCAAAGTTTGCCATAATGCCAGGGTGGGGTAATGGTTGTAGGAAGAGCAAACAGAGTGGATGTGGGAGGAATATTGCTATTGTGACTGACAGGTGAGGTTTGTAACCTGAAGGAATTACTTTTACTTGGAGAATGAATCCCTTTTAGTTTTTCAATTTAAAACAAAAACCAATTTAGAGGTGCCTAGCATAAAAGCCTTTGGACCTATTTATCTGACATTTTGCATTTTGAAAATTGCATTTCTGCAATTTTCAAGCCAGTTGCCCATAAATTTAATAAAAAATATATTTTTTAAAAAGTTGCCTATGGAATTTTAGGGAGATTAAGAGATTCCCCCTTTAAACCCCCAAACTACCAAGACTATACTTTGCTGAAAAAACACTGCAGCTATCCTGAAACTTGGCAGGATTCATGCTCTCAGACAGGGTAAAGCCTGCAAATTTCATCCAATTTCATCCAAAAACCTTTTTTATAAGGTGTGCAGTGCAACTGCCCTTAAACTTATTTCGCTGTAATTCAGCACACCTTATCCACTCTGGATGGGCTAGTATGCTTGCAAATTTCATCCACTTTTGTCAAAAGAGGAATAACGTTACAGTTGTTTTTTTATTTCTCAGTAGTGAATAATGGGCCGGGGGAGGAAAGAAGCAGACTTGGCTGGACCTCAGAAATAATTGGATACCTCAGACCAAGGTAGGCTGGTTTCTGAATTGTCAGATCAGAGTCCACACTGAATCCAGTGGTCAGTGCCCACCCCTTGTAAAAAGTTTAAATGTCCAGTTGAGACTAACTTAGTGAGAAATGCAGAGAAATCCTATACGTGATTATTCAGAAGTATGCCCTGTTGTGATTACTGGAATAGTGTGCAAAAGTATAGGTCTCATGGCAGGGTCCTTGAGAAAGTGACAGCAGAACAGCCACCCAATTGCTGTGGACTAGAGCTCCCATCACCCCTGAACATTGGCCATGCTGGCTGGGGTTGATGAGAGTTGTAGTCCAAAACATAAGGAAAGTACCATAGTCGCTACCCCTAATCTAGATCTCTTTCAATCCAGCTTCAGGCCTTTTTTGGGGGACCAAGCACATTTGTCAAGGGGAAGATAGGGAGAACACAGGCTTGCTGATTATCTTGACTCCTGCCCAGAACAGAACAAGAGAGGTCCTTACTTGCAAGTTGTTGTTGTTTAGTTGTTTAGTCATGTCCGACTCTTCGTGACCCCATGGACCAGAGCATGCCAGGCACTCCTGTCTTCCACTGCCTCCTGCAGTTTGGTCAAACTCATGCTGGTAGCTTCGAGAACACTGTCCAACCATCTCGTACTCTGTCGTCCCCTTCTCCTTGTGCCCTCCATCTTTCCCAACATCCAGGGAGTCTTCTCTTCCCATGAGGTGGCCAAAGTATTGGAGCCTCAGCTTCACGATCTGTCCTTCCAGTGAGCACTCAGGGCTGATTTCCTTCAGAATGGAGAGGTTTGATCTTCTTGCAGTCCATGGGACTCTCAAGAGTCTCCTCCAGCACCATAATTCAAAAGCATCAATTCTTCGGGGATCAGCCTTCTTTATGGTCCAGCTCTCACTTCCATACATCACTACTGGGAAAACCATAGCTTCAACTATACCGACCTTTGTTGGCAAGGTGATGTCTCTGATGTCTTGCAAGTAAAGGTATGCAAAGTACAGTACGCAAATTTTTGCTGTTGGTTGTGTGTCATATCACTTCATGATTTGCAAAACTGGTACGTGACCATTTTTGGTGAAGGACGGTATAGAATTCCCGAAACAAAGAAATAAATGAACTTTTCTACATGCGTAGACACGTATAGGAATGTACTGTAAATAATAGCTTACATATAGGAAGAGAATGCTCACTGAGGCACTGGCAGGCTGTGCTCAGTTTGGTAGTTCATAAGTTGTGTCGACCTGCCCTTAACACTTGCCTGCAGAAAGTGCACAATGCTGTACATTCAATATTGATGCCCGCTGCAGTCTGTACATATACGTCTGTGTACTGTGCTTTCCTGCTGAGCTGTAATTAATTTGGGATGCCTGCCCTGACATAAGGTGACACATTTGGCTTCACTGTGCTGATTTAGTAAGCCGTCTAATTTGCTCATGGAACTGACATCGCTGCCTTCTGCTTTCAGGAGCATTATCCGTCTTAAACAGGACATGAACAACAACAACAAGGCAAAACCAAACTAAGAAAATGATTCTGCCTTGAAAGACAATGCCACATAAATGTGTCTCTCTGCATGTGTAGTTTGGTGACAGCAACAAAGAAATGTAAAACAAGATCCCTGAAACTGGTACCAGCTTGTAAAATCTTGTTAAATCATGCTTTTAAACATACACCCACACCCACACACCGATGCCCATATTACAAACTGCAGTTTCATTTTTCTTTTTTACTGCTTCCTTTTCTATAACCTCAGTAGGCCTGTGCTTTTCTTTTTCTTTCTTTCTTTCCTTTTTTTTTAATTCGTCCTTTCCCCTGCTTTTTCAAAATGCACTCATTGAACTCTTGGCAATTAGTGTAATTGAAATTTATTGACAATGTGGCAGTCTTCTAAAGCTTCATTGTTCTGAGTGCTTAGCGCACAGGACCATTGAAGAGTGCCATGGCAGTGTCAGACGGCGCATAGCTTGCTCAATTATATCAATGGACCAGTGACTGCCAAAGGTTCCTTTGGGGGTATGAATGTTACTTAGTGATAAGAGCCTCTAGAAACAGAATCCCTGGGCCCCATCTCTAGTGGGAGATGGAAATGAAATATGTATTTCTCTGCTGTGGAAAATTAATGTAATTGGCTCCCTTAAAAAGCTTTGACAAGTTGACCTGTTTGAAATCTGAGGAGGGCTTATGCTGCAATATCACATTATCTCCAACATAAACCCCCTACTCTGATGGGGAAAAGGGGAAAGATAAATGGCATTTGGATAGTAATATTAAACTTTAGTGCCATGGACCATATTAGTACATGCTTCCACCTCCCGCCCGTGTCTCGCTTCTGAATAAATTCTGATAGAAATTTTACCCTTTCACATTACTCTCTCTCCTTTCTGTTTTCTTTATAAGGGGACAATGGGAAAAGAAAATGTTTGGGACTCAGATCTCTGCTCTTCAGTCTTCCTTTCTGTGCAGTGGTCGCCATGCAGTCATCTCCAAAAACCACTTTCTCCAGAGATATCCCATTAGCTTCAAGGGCACTGCTGTTCCACAAGTGGTTTGATTCCCACCTGTGCACATAATAAGAACTTAGTAAATGGTGGCCTTCATACGTTCCTCACTGGAAACATGCCTGCCTTTATGAAGTTTAAATTGGCTCTGAAGGGGTGTGTGTGTGTGAATCTGGGTTTCCCACAACCATTGCGCCACACCAGGAGTGCAGCATTAGGGATGCACATAGTATTTCAGGCTCTTTGATCTGTAGCTCCAAAAATTGCCCCCACAGGAGAGTCACAGCCTCTTGCTGGGTTCTGCTCTCTCCCTCTCTTCCATCACGGTTCCACAAAGAACTTTGCCCTGTGCTTCTAAAGCAGGGTTCGTCAAGGTTTATCTCGCCTGGGCCGGTTCACTCCAGTGGAGATCCCTCCATGGGCTGGATGGCGTGTGTGTGTGAGCACACACACCTGCGATTTCCAGCGTTTGTGTCCGCGCAGACACGATTTCCGGTGTCTGCGTCTGCACAGATGCGATTTTTGTCATCTGCGCATGCACAGACACAATTTCTGGCACCACAGAAGCGAGTCCCCATGCCGCGGGGACTCACTGAGCAGGTGTCTCGGTTCAGGGGTGGCTCGTGGGCTGGTTAAAAGACCCCCGTGGACTACTTGTGGCCCATGGGCCTCAGGTTGCCTACCCCTGTTCTAAAGGCTAGTTATTTATTTATTCTAGGGATTTATGCTCTTTAAACAATGGTGGCTTGGATTTTTTTAAAAAAATGCATTAAACACAATGTAAAAGAGTATCATAAAGACAGTCAGAAGAAATAAAACCTATCTAAAGCACCATGAAAGCAATTAGCATAGGGACATATGCCTGGGGAAAATAAAAGAAGATATTTGGCACCCACCAAAATGACATTAAGGTAGGCATTCTGTAGTCAGGGTGAAACCAAAAAGTAGGCCCTCTCCCTTATTGACATATTTTGTGTCGGCATCTGGGGGTCGATAGGCCAGCTGGCTCGGCCCAGCTGGATCGTCTCCCTCTCAGCCTTTGAGCTGCAGAGATTCATCGACCTCTGGCTCCGCCGTAAATCAGCGACTCAAGCCTGCTGACTTGAGCACACTTTACTTAGCAGAGTAAACTGCACAACAGAAGAGGCTTGAGGCTGTAGATACATACTAAAACTATGGATTTATTATACATAAATTGGAACAAAGAAACATGTTGTCTCTTCTTGCCGTCTTCTCAGAGAGAGACTAGAAACAAAAGCAATACACAAACCGGAAGTTCTGCTCACGGGACCCAACAGTCTGTGCTGGAATGTAAACAGACAAGTGACAACTAACAATCCCACATATCTGCAACAAAAGGTGGAATGGAATCTCCCAGCACTTTGAAGAGCAAAAAAGAGGGTGGTAGGATGGCTCTCCTTGCCAGAGACTGGGCAGAGGAGGAATGGTGGAGACCACCTCCCCAGCTTGACTCTTCCAGGGAAGAGGAAGACAATTTAGATTTACAACAGGGGTTTGAGGGAGTTCACAGCTCAGGGGCAGATGAGGGGGAAAGTTGGGAAATAATGGGCGAGGAGTCAGGAGGAAGCACCAGAGGGGCAACAGCTGATGGACACAGTGTCTTTAGAAAGCTTTCCAGACCCCCTCTCCCAGAACCCTGTGAGCCTTGAAAGTAGCAGAGGAAAGAGCTCAAAGACAGAGGGCACTTAGCAGCACCCATAGAAGTGGCAAATGAGGAAGTGGGAGAGATGGGAGGTGGAGATTCATTTGGGACAACACCATTATCCAAGAGACTGGGTTTTCTATAGCCTCTCTCTGTAAATACTGAATAAAAAGTGGACAGTAAGAAACCTTTCCTTGTCTTTGTACGTTCCTGGCTGGGAGTCGCTGGCAGCAGCCTGACACTCATTTTAAATACCCCTACTATATATAGGCTATAGAAGCTGTGATATATTGCTGAGGAGGGAAGGATAAGAAAAGAGGAAATAGATAAATAGATAGTATGTCTAGTATAGTTTTGCATTATGGTGTTGATATTATATAGGTTTGTGTTGAACTAAACTGTAGTGTATAATGGTGTATAGTATTGTTATATAGTGTATGGTATTGTGGTTTTGTGTTGTATGTGTTTTGTATTATATGCCACATGTAAAGGAAATAATAATAATAATAATAATAATAATAATAATAATAACAGGAAAGCAAGTCTTCAACCACCAGTTATGTCTATGTCTCATCCGGAAAATATAGCCAGAGACACTCTTAAAAATCCACCACAGAAATGTTATCCCTGAAAAAGAGGATGTGTCCTGGAAAAAGAAGATACATGGAAACCCTACCTTGTAGCCACCCACTGTACTCAAAGAAGAGCCTCTGTTTGAAAATCTGAGTATATGCATAGGTCCATAACATGCGATGTGACCATAACTGAATACTAGTTAACAGCCTCCCAAGCTGTATTTTGGTTTAGTGGGTGTTTCTGATCTTCAAAGGCATTCCCATGTATAACATATTATAGTAGCTGAGACTGACGGATGCCAACCATTTGTGGAAGTTGCCAAGGCATGGATCTCTGTCCAGGAAGTTGCAGCTGATGGAACTGTTGGGATTTTTGACTAAGTGCTATTTGATGCAGCTTCCCACAGAAGCAATTAAGGAGTTGGCCAAAGGCCAAGAAGACTGAGCAGAGGGAGTTATTCTGCCTAGAGATATGGGACCTTGGATACAACTCTGCTATTGGTCGAGGTCTCCACATATGCATGATGACTCATGACCTTCCTGTGTGGTTGGTTGGTCAGTGTGTGGTTTGAGAGTTCGTTGGAGTTTGTTCAGTGAGAGAGTTAAGATCCATGTCTGTATCCTGTATATAGTAACTTGTGATTCTGCTGTAAATAATAAACCTCTAAGTAACCAAGTTACTAAAATGGATGCAGGTGGTGCTGTGGGTTAAACCACAGAGCCTAGGACTTGCCGATCAAGGTTGGCAGTTTGAATCCCCACGACGGGGTGAGCTCCCGTTGCTCGGTCCCTGCTCCTGCCAACCTAGCAGCTCGAAAGCACGTCAAAGCAGTGGCGTAGCGTTGGGGGTGCAGGTGGGGCCGGCCACACCGGCCGCAACATCTGGGGGGGTGCTCGCACTCACAGCTCTCTGCCCCTACCTGGCTCACTCGGGTTAGGGGGCGCAAATTACTTGCCTTGCCCCGGGTGCTGACAACCCACGCTACGCCACTGCGTCAAAGTGCAAGTAGATTAATAGGTACCGCTCCGGCGGGAAGGTAAATGGCGTTTCCGTGCGCTGCTCTGGTTCGCCAGAAGCAGCTTAGTCATGCTGGCCACATGACCGGGAAGCTGTACGCCGGCTCCCTCGGCCAATAAAGCGAGATGAGTGCTGCAACCCTAGAGTCGGTCACGACTGGACCTAATGGTCAGGGGTCCCTTTACCTTTACCCAAGTTACTAGTAGCAGCGTCTTGTTCCTGCTTCATCCTGCCTGCAAATGACTGCTTCTGGACAGTCTGCGTATGCTCTGCTATATTCAATAGGTTCTGACTAAGATCCTTCAACAGGAACAGCCTAAATGGGCTAGAGAAGCAACCTGCACCTCTAGTGACAACGATGGATCTGTGAGCACTCCCAGGCTTGTGAGGGAGGCAAACTTCATCCTAGGCAGGCTGTACACCACTAACCTGGGGAGATACACTTTTTATCCACAATATCTCCATCTCGTCTGCAAAAAGCTTCAGTTGTTTGGCCCATTATTACTCCACTGCTGTTTTCACCTCATCGCTGCTTCACCTAAACAGGATGGGGAAAAAACACCAGCAAAACAGAATTAGGTGTCATCTGCATTTTGTTGACACCTCGCCCCAAATGTTACATAGAATATTTCACAGATATCTCCTGAAGTTAGGAATACAGTGGTACCTCAGGTTAAGAACTTAATTCGTTCTGGAGGTCCGTTCTTAACCTGAAACTGTTCTTAACCTGAGGTACCACTTTAGCTAATGGGGCCTCCTGCTGCCGCCGCACTGCCGGAACACGTTTTCTGTTCTCATCCTGAAGCAAAGCTCTTAACCCGAGGTACTATTTCTGGGTTAGAGGAGTCTGTAACTTGAAGCGTATGTAACTTGAAGAGTATGTAACCCAAGGTACCACTGTACTGAATTTTTGGATTCATGCGTTAATCCCTTGAAATGTATTTTCACCCTTATGAGGACAAATTTTTGCCAAAGTTTCTGATGATTTGCAAACAAATGAATGAAATTTCTACATGCACAATTTCACCAAAACAAGTGAGTGGTTAGTTTCCAGTACCTTGGTTTAGCTAGGCTGAAAAATGTCTGGTGGTTTCTTGAGATCTTATCGCCTTGTAGAAGAAATGCGATAAGCAAAGGTGCAGTCTTCACAAAACTTTTCTGAACTCCCTGAACACTGTTGCATCACTCACAGCATTATTAGTTGGCCTCCCTCCCCGCTCCCCTGACACCAGGAATGCCTGCAGATGCTCCACATATGAACAGCTTGCAAGCATTGGCCTCTGCTATGTAAAAACTCTCATCAAAGCACCCCTGAGACAGACATAAGTATCTTAAATCACTATGAACTAATGTGGGAATGCAATTATTTTAAATGCTCCTCACAGGGATTCTCTTGGTAAAGGATTTTAAACTCATGCATAAAATATTAATGTTGGCGTGCATCAGATATCCTATCAGTTGAAGTAGACTGAAATGATAAGATAAATGATTCAGAGATCTTTACTGGCAAAAAAGGGGGACTGAATTATAACTAATACCGGTAGAGTGGTACCTTGGGTTACATACGCTTCAGGTTACAGACTCCACTAACCCAGAAATAGTACCTCAGGTTAAGAACTTTGCTTCAGGATGAGAACAGAAATTGTGCTCCGGAGGCGCGGCGGCAGCAGGAGGCTCCATTAACTAAAGTGGTGCTTCAGGTTAAGAACAGTTTCAGGTTAAGAACGGACCTCTGGAACGAATTAAGTACTTAACCCGAGGTGCCACTGTAATTATTTTTAAGCTTTCTTTTTTTCTCGTTGTTTAAAGTTGGGCTGTGCATGGCCCCGTAGATCCAATTTGGTGGCTAGCCCAGTGCTTCAGGGTAGCCCCAATCTCACCTTGGGCCGACTCGACCCGAATGGGGGCCCTGAAACAAATCATAACTCTTGCAGAGTGTTTCGAGTCTGAACACTGATTAAGCATGCTGTCAGGAGGGGAACAGGGAGAACATACCCGCCAACATTTCTCTGATGAAAATAGGGGCGTCCCATTCCATAATGATAATTTCACTATTTATACCCCACACATCTTACTGAGAATGTTTGCAAACTCCTGATCTCTAATCCTTGTACTGGCTACCCATTTGGCATCGACTGGTTGCCAGGGTATTACTTTCAGAGGCAGTTCCCCATTTGCCTCCCGCCTTCACTATTGACTTTCAGGAGGAATCTGAAAACATTCCTGTTTATCCAGGAATTTAATGGCCGAAGGACATGCTTCCTGGCAACCCTGAAATCACTGGATAAGATAATGTTTTAACTATAACTGTCTTTGGAATATTTTAACTGTTTTTAGAAATGTTTTTGTTGTGGATGTGTTTGCTGTCTTGGGCTCCTTTGGGAAGAAGGGTAGGATATAGATATAGATGATATAGATATAGATGATATAGATATAGATGATATAGATATAGATATAGATATAGATATAGATATAGATATAGATATAGATATATAGATATAATAATTTAAATAGGATATTTTGTACTGAGTTGGTTATAATTTCACAGTGATTATAAAGGCAATTATGTACTGGTTATTTTTAGATGTGTGGGTTTTGCATTTCTGCTGTGAGCTACCCTGTGGGTTTCTCCAGATGACCTGTTTATTGAGACTTCATCTTGATTTGCTTGCACAAAGCTTACGCAGAGTTTAGATTATATCCTGCCTTTTTTGAGCAATTGTTCCGATTTGTCTGATTGGCAGTAATAAGACGATGAGCATTCATTCTGATTTGCTTGTGGGGTGTTCATATGTCTTCCTGTTCTTGTTCATTCCTTCCACATGTTTCAATGCATTTCTCTGTTATTTTTCTGATTGGAAAAAGTCTAATTCCCCCCTCGCAGTGGATTTGTGCACTAAGGTGACAGAGCCCTTGAATCCACTTTAAGGGTGGAAACCTCAAGTTCCGGCAACCTGAGGATTCATTGGGTAATTTTAAGGCAGGATATAAACCTGATAACCTGAATAGATATTAATGAAAGTACTTTCCGGCATATCCATTAGTAGAGAAATGAACAGTTTTAGAGGGTATTGACCTAGCTTGTCAGGAAACCCTTCTGTGCTGAAAGCATCTTCTGGTTCTCCTATATTTAATACATGAAGCCTCAAGAATGTACTTGGCAGTTAATTCATAAGGCCAGAGTAGCATCATATTCACAAAGCTACATGGCAGACGCATTGTTGACATGCTCATCTGGAGGCAGAGTAGGGTCCCCATGGTTCTAAACCCAACCACATCTGCTCTGAACTCTTGTTCCTTTCTACTGAGCAGCCAGTTGGGTAGAGTCAAAAAAAGGACATCAAGGAGATTCTCCTCTTGATAAACCAATTATGTTGTCAGTTCTCTTGATTCAGCGTAAGCTTGACAAAGCATGCTTCAGAACAGCGGTTGTAGCCTAGAGCTCACAAAAGCTCCAAGAGGACACTTTGTTGAAATATATGAATTATCTACGGACATGGCTGGCTCCTTATGAGAAGCATTATCATGTCCAAATGCTGGTCCCCAGGGTGTTTTCAGACACCACGTTCACTCTGTACTGCCAGCAAGCAGTGATAAGCGATGGTAATGTATGCATAGCATTAACACCAGCTCCTTTGCTCCACATCACCCACTGCAGAAAATCTCTCCCAATATCTCTGCTGCTCCTTCTACCACATTCAAAAGAAGCATGCGGGCATAAAGTGTCTATGGGGTGTGCCTGTATGTGTACCAATTTGCCCCAACATTCATAGGTACACTTGCTATACTGAGAGCCAACGTGGTGTATTGGTTAAGAGCGGTGGACTTATAATCTGGCGAACCAGGTTCGCTTCCCCACTCCTCCACATGCAGCTGCTGGGTGACCTTGGGCGAGTCACGCTTCTCTAAAGTCTCTCAGAGCTCACTCACCTCACAGAGTGTTTGTTGTAGGGAAGGAAGGGAAAGGAGACTGCTAGCCATTTTGAGACTCCTTAAGGGGAGTGAAAGGCGGGATATCAAGTCCAAACTCCTCCTCCTCGTCCTCTTCTTCTTCTTCTATACCCCAATATTCCTGAGTTTCATGAGAAGGTCTGAAGTGGACTTTGAAGACGCTCGAACTCAGGATGAAAGGAAGAAACGTGCAAAGAGGAAGCGACATCTGGTAAACCCTCACCGTGATCAACTTCCATCCGGAAACCTGTGCCCCCACCGTGGAAGGACATGTGGATCCAAAATTGGCCTCCACAGTCACTTACACATTTACTGTTAAGGCTGTTTTCATGGAAGACAATCTTACTCGGCTATGAGTGATCACCACAGAAGAAGAAGAAGAAGCTCCATTCAGACCTTCCAGCTAAAAATGGCAAGGGGGTGGAGATAGGGTGAACAGAGATGTTGGGGGCATGTTCACCTACTCCCTCTATATCTGTTACATCGTTTTGAATGTGTGAAGAGGGTTATGCTCTGCTAGGATTACCAGATTCCAGTCTGAATTTCACTCTTTATCTTTAAAGCCACTGATGAAACGGGGGGGGGGGGGGGTTGAAATAGCTGTGACTACATCCTTGCTTCACCTTTTATCTCCCTGGTCCTGTCATCTGCCCCCTTCCTTGGGCAAGGAAGGTTCTAGGTTTTCTGCACAGCAAGATACCAGGGCTTGAGATTGATGGGTGGAAGGTACCCCAGCTATGCCATCTTCCAGGTCACTGGTTGATTGGTAGCTGCCTTCTGTCTTGTTTTAGAACTATTTTGTATTCCATTTATAGACAAAAATACAACCATAATAAAATCAGTACTGTTCCCCCATCCTGCCCTGCAAATAAGCAAAAACTCCATACCTCACCTTGACACATGACCAGTATCAGAACGTGAATTCCATAGCACATCCTGGTAGGCTTATAAATGTCCTCGTTTTGACAGCTTCAGAGGAGTCTCACAAGAACCCTTGATCTCAAAAGCCAGGTTTCCAGAATTTAAAATGAGGAGAAAGAGGGGAAAAGTTTAGTTGCATGAAGGGGTACCAAGTGAAACCCATTTCATTTAAGTTGTGGTAAGATGTACTAGGACAAAAGGACTTGAGGCCTATGGATTTACATGCCCGTGTGGTTTGGCTGAAATCCACACACCCTTTTTACGAAATTCTTTGCTGATCTTCCAGGACTGGTCTCATAGGCAACAAAAATCACTTAAAAAACCTAGCAGCACATAACATCCAGATTTTTGACATTCCTGAAGAAATACTAAACTTAAATAATATTGCATTGGACCTTCTTTTGCCAACTTTCAGCCACAAACCAAATGTATCATAAAAGCAAATTCTCTCTTTCTTTTTAAATTTTTATTAGTTTTATTTAATATTACAAGAAGATAAATAGAAAAAGAAAAAATCAAAACAAAATTTATACATATCAATATAAACACGATTATCTACATATTTACCAATTGAAGCCTATAGAAGAAAAAGAAGAAAAGAAATGAAAAGAAAGAAAAAAAGCCAAAAAGAAAAAAAGAGAAAAGGAAAAAGAAATACTTTTCATAAACAATAATACCAAATTTATACTTTAAACATTACAATATAAAAATCCTAGTTAAAATATTATAAAAGACTTCCACCACATTCACCACACGTCTCTTAATTTCTAGTTCACCTTTACATCTGTTCTTTAGTCACTTCCTTTCCTTAAGTTCTTTCACAATCCATTAAATCTTTATATTCTTTCTATTCTTCACAAGGTTAGTCTAAGCAAAACCAAATTTTCGTATTTAAGCCCTGTTTGTGTAAATATTCATTTAAAAGATCCCATTGTTTCTGTACCATAGTTTTGGATTTATGCCTTATTAAATCTGTCAGTTTAGCTAACTCCAGATACTCACATAGTTTACTTAACATAGTTTACTTTTTGATTCTTTATTTCAATGTTTTGAATTATTCCTACAGACCTGTTGCCATTCTCTGCCTCCCTCCATCTATATCTTTGTGTAGACTACACTGTATATTACCTGTGAAGTGAGTGTATTTTGAGGATATACTATGCTAATCTAGAAGGGATGCGGGTGGCGCTGTGCATTAAACCACAGAGCCTAGGACTTGCCGATCAGAAGGTCGGCGGTTTGAATCCCCGTGACGGGGTGAGCTCCCATTGCTTGGTCCCTGCTCCTGCCCACCTAGCAGTTTGAAAGCACCTCTGAAGGGAAGTTTTCTTTCTGCAGTTTCTCTTACTGCACATAAGTCTAAGTTTTTCTTTCTGCAGTTCTCTTACTGCACATAACTGTCGCATTGTGGGAAAGTCTTGCTTTTAGAACTTTTCCTTCTTTTCTCTCTTACATTCTGGGAAGTTTTTGCCTCTGCACATAAGTCTGAGAATGTTCTGAACAGTTCCCATTGAGTTCATGAAACAGTGTATCCTGACCTGTTCTTAATGCTTTGCTGACCACATTTACGGAACGTGATTGTTGTATTCCTTCATGTTATGTTCTCTCAATATCAATCTTTAGTTATAATTTAATTAGGAGGTTTCATGCCTGTCTAGTTCCAGCTCCGTTCCCAGTCTTTTGAACTATCACTGATTGATGTCATATGTTATTCCCGCCTTGTACCTATGTTAACCAATCAGCAACAAGATGCTTTGTGTTTGTATCAACCAATCAGCCACAAGCACACCTGTGGCAATGTTTGTAATATTCAATAAAGAGAGTTCCCGGGACTTGCCCGGGCAGACGCCTCTCCTTTGACACCCACCATTCGTCTGTCGTGATTTCAACCCAACATCTGGTGACCCCGACGTGCCAGATCCCTTACGCAGCCAAACCTCATACTTCACCCGACTGGAAAAGTCTCAGCGCGCTACTTCGTGAGTATGGGAGGGACTTGACTAAGCTCCAGAAAGAGCATGCTAAAGAGTTGCTTTATTTAGTTAGACAGCGGGAGGTGGGTGTTAATATTTCCTTAAAAGAAATTGAACAATTGCTATGTGAGATTAATTGCCAATGCATTTCTTATCCAGAGGCTGGATCTTTGGATGTAGAGACTTGGCAAAAGATCGGAAAGACCCTTTTTGCAGAACCTAGGGCTCCGATTCATTGTCTGCTCACTTGGCAGAAATGTGCTGATGCCGTTGCTAAATTAGGGCCCCAATTGGGACCCCAGGCGTCTCCTCTTCTGGCCATTGCAGACAATCCCCCACCTTACCCGAAACTTTTACCTCCTTCTCCTTTGCAGCCCAGCCAATCCCTCCCTGCGTCTCACCCTCCTCAACCTGCATCCTCCCCCCCCATCCCTCCGCCTCAACCTGCATCCTCCCCCCCCATCCCTCCGCCTCAGCCTGATTCCTCCCCCCCCATCCCTCCTCCTCCTGCCACAGCCCCTGTTTGCTCTATAGGAGCTGTGCGTGCTGCGCTCTCTGGCAAGGCAAAAAGGGCTCCTGTCCTTAGAGGAGGAGTCTGAGTGGCCAGGTGAAATGCCGTCTGCTTTCCCTATCTCTTATTCAAACCCTGGATCTGCTCAACAGCAGATTTATTATGAATCGCTTCCTTATTCTGTAATGAGGGAATTAAGGAAAGCCATTGCTGATTCTGGTCTGAAATCCTCTTATGTGACAGGGATGCTAGAGGGCATTGCAACTGGTTACATTATGCTACCTCAGGACTGGAAAGACCTTATGCGCATGCTTTTGTCCCCTGCTCAGTATGTGGTGTTTGAGAGTGAATTTAAACATAGCGCTTCAGCCCTGTCTGATCCTCAACATACTGCCAATGAACTTTATGGTGCTGGTCAGTTTGCTGATATAACTGCCCAAGCAACACTGACACCTGTACATTTTGTTCGCACCGTGACTCTGTGTACAACGCGCCTTTCGGAAAGTCCCTGTTTCTGGGCAACCGCTGAGCTCCTTTGTAAATATTAAGCAACAGCATTCGGAGCCATACCATCAGTTTATAGATAGATTGAAAGAATCAGTCACTAGGCAGATTGATAACACCACTGCTCAAAATGAATTGATGAAAAAATTGGCCTTTGAAAACGCAAACACTGATTGCAAGAAAGCTTTGCAGTCGATCATACATCGCCCTAAATATGAACTGGCCGATATGATTCAAGCTTGTGCGGATGTCGGTAGCCAGAGCCATGCGATGTCCTTGCTTGCCGGTGCAATCCAAGCAACCACTAAGCCTACTGGTAACTGCTTCAATTGCAAGCGCCCAGGCCATTTTGCCAAGCAATGCAGAGCCCCTGGCGGGGGGGCACACAAGGATGGTGCTGCCTCTAAGGCTAAACCCTCTGAATTTGCAATTGACTTGATCAATCAAGAGACCAAAGACTCTGTTTTACCTGGTGAAATTGTGCTCATGCCCACTCAATTGGCAGGTCCCCTGCCTCCTAAAGTCGCAGGTTTAATTTTACCCAAATTTTCTGCGGCGAAGGAAGGCATCCAGGTTATTCCTGGAGTTCTGGATCCTGACTATGTAGGCACAATAATGGTTCAACTCTGGAGCCATATGCCCATGCAATTAAAAAGGGTGAGTCTTGGGCGCATTTGGTGGTGCTCCCTTCTCATCCTACTGCTTCTATTATGGATACTAATTTGCACGAGCTCTCTTCTTTCCCTCCACAGCTGTTAGCTGTAGTCCAGAGGATTGGTGAGAAGAAGCTTCTTCGTAAGTATAAAATCAATGGTATTGTGCTGGAAGGCTTGATTGACACAGGCGCAGACGTTTCTGTAATTTCTAGTAGTTGCTGGGACCCCACGTGGCCCCTTGAGTCTGCCTCTGCTGTCTGGGGTGTGGGTGGCCCCCAAACCTCTTCCAAAAGCGTACAGTGGCTGCCTGTTTCTCTGCCTGACAGCTCTGAAACCATTGCTTACATCCAGCCCTGTGTGCTGAAAATCCACCTCAATCTGTGGGGAAAAGACTTGCTACAACAATTACAAGCTACCATTCAATTTAATGAGTAAGCTTGCACTTCCCTCAACTGGAAATCTTCTGGTCGTGTCCTGGCTATACGTTTAATCACATTCCAGCAAACATCAGCCATGGCACACCTTGCTGTTTAAGCCGTTTGTCCATCATTTTATCGCTGCAATACTGAATTGACTAATGATTGTGATGCTTTTGTCTCTCTTCTCAGTAGGTCTGAATATATCTCTTTAGTTGCTTCTCTCTTAGGAGTCCCTGGATTGGCTGTACGGAATCGAATGAACATTACTTTTTTAGCTTGTTATGCAGCAAAAAACTCTGAATTATATTTCACAAGCCCTTCACCTTTTGAATAAAGAACAGTGCACTCCACAATGGACTTTTACAAAATCCTTTACAAAATGGACTTTTACATTATATAACCCCTTTGAATAAAGAACAGTGAACTATATAATGGACTTTTACGAAATCGTGCTATAGATTATTTGCTGATGCTTCATCATTATGGCTGTGAACAAGTGAATGACATGTGTTGCTTCAATATTACTGACAATTCAAGAGCCATTCAAAGCCAAATCTCTCATTTGCAAAATCTTACACATCACATTAAACAGGACGTTGGATTTCCTGGCCTCTGGGATTCTTTCACCCAGTGGCTTACTGCTTGGTTGCCTAACCTTACTTGGCTTCGTAGTCTCTTTCAATATGCTATTTTCATAATTTCCATTTTTATTTTACTATGCTGTTTCCTCCAATGCGTTCCCAGCCTCATGAGTCTTTTCTCTCGGCTTCTCTCCCCTAATGCTTGCTGCTTACATTGCGAAATGGCAACACCAACAGTGAACCTTAGGGGAGATGTGGGCGGATTTATTTTGGGCATGCGCTGGCAAACCACGTATCCTGAAGTACTTTTGTCCCATCGACCCTGGCAAGCTTATTTCGGGCATTCGCTGGCACACCACTAATCCCGAAGTATTTTTGCCTTATCCACCTGGAACGCCTCGCAAACAAGAAAAGAAAGGGGAGATGAAGGGAAGTTTTCTTCTGCAGTTTCTCTACTGCACATAAGTCTAAGTTTTTCTTTCTGCAGTTCTCTTACTGCACATAACTGTCGCATTGTGGGAAAGTCTTGCTTTTAGAACTTTTCCTTCTTATCTCTCTTACATTCTGGGAAGTTTTTGCCTCTGCACATAAGTCTGAGAATGTTCTGAACAGTTCCCATTGAGTTCATGAAACAGTGTATCCTGACCTGTTCTTAATGCTTTGCTGACCACATTTACGGAACGTGATTGTTGTATTCCTTCATGTTATGTTCTCTCAATATCAATCTTTAGTTATAATTTAATTAGGAGGTTTCATGCCTGTCTAGTTCCAGCTCCGTTCCCAGTCTTTTGAACTATCACTGATTGATGTCATATGTTATTCCCGCCTTGTACCTATGTTAACCAATCAGCAACAAGATGCTTTGTGTTTGTATCAACCAATCAGCCACAAGCACACCTGTGGCAATGTTTGTAATATTCAATAAAAGAGAGTTCCCGGGACTTGCCCCGGGCAGACGCCTCTCCTTTGACACCCACCATTCGTCTGTCGTGATTTCAACCCAACACACCTCAAAGTGCAAGTAGATAAATAGGTACCGCTTCGGCGGGAAGGTAAACGGCATTTCCGTGCGCTGCTCTGGTTCGCCAGAAGTGGCTTAGTCATGCTGGCCACATGACCTGGAAGCTGTACGTCGGCTCCCTCGGCCAATAAAGCGAGATGAGCACCACAACCCCAGAGTCGGCCACTACTGGACCTAATGGTCAGGGGTCCCTTTACCTTATGCTAATCTAGCAGGTTTGATTTCCAAAGGATACCCAAGGCAGTCTGTGAAATTTATGTGGATATCTGAGATCAGGGATCAACAAAAGCAGAAAAATCAGAGGAAATGACGAGGGGAGGCTATGTTCTCATCAGCTGCACTGTGAATGGCGCTGATGAGCTGATCTGGGAGGGATTTTATTGGTATTATTGAGAGTAGTATTAGTATCATCTAAATTAGGCTGCTGAAATGACCAAAGTTAACCAGGAGCGGATTTTTGTGGGAAAGAATGATGAATTGACATTGAAAACCAATTCTTTGCCTCAGAATGTGCTCATAGGCACCTTGTTCCTTAATTTTAACTGTATGCTTTTTGCACCTGGCTCTTGTTGGTAGGATCACTGAAGATAATGACAGCAGCCACGAAATTAAGAGACGCCTGCTTCTTGGGAGGAAAGCAATGACAAACCTAGACAGCATCTTAAAAAGTAGAGACATCACCTTGCCAACAAAGGTCCATATAGTAAAAGCTATGGTTTTCCCAGTAGTGATGTATGGAAGTGAGAGCTGGACCATAAAGAAGGCTGATCACCGAAGAACTGATGCTTTTGAATTATGGTGCTGGAGGAGACTTTTGAGAGTCCCATGGACTGCAGGAAGATCAAACCTCTCCATTCTTAAGGAAATCAGCCCTGAGTGCTCACTGGAAGGACAGATCGTGAAGCTGAGGCTCTAATACTTTGGCCACCTCGTGAGAAGAGAAGACTCCCTGAAAAAGACCCTGATGTTGGGAAAGATGGAGGGCACAAGGAGAAGGGGACAACAGAGGACGAGATGGTTGGATAGTGTCTTTGAAGCTACCAGCATGAGTTTGACCAAACTGCGGGAGGCAGTGGAAGACAGGAGTGCTTGGCGTGCTCTGGTCCATGGGGTCACGAAGAGTCAGACACGACTAAACGACTAAACAACAACAACAAAAACAGATAAACTTTGGCCTCTATTTTAAATTAATTGTGACTCTGAACCCAGATAAACTGTGGTTAATCTTAAATCAGCTTCAACCCATACCTGATTATGCTGGCTTGCTTCAACTAACCATAGCTAAGGTTAATCATATTTTGAACAACAAACAAACCAAGGTTAATCTCAAGCAATTCAGCCTTCTACTCCACCTGCAGTCAAAGTGGAGTGTCCAAGCCAGAGGTTCACTGTGACTTTGTCTCATCATGCTAAACAATAGTTTAGGGCTACATCTGAATGCTGGCAGTGTGTCTTGAGTAGATAATTTAAATATTGACTATGGTTTGCTTTCCTTGAATTATGCACAGTTTTATTATTTTAAGCAGTTTGAGGCACTGAACTAGCTGGAGGCTGATGTATCGAATCAGACCGGTGGTATTGCCTGATGTTGTTTAATTCATGTTAAGATATAAGCTTGACACATTCAAGTATTGTTTGTTCAAGCGTTAGGATTGTGATACATTAAGTGCACTCCCTTAGCTGCCCAAGAGTATAACATTTCAACCCACAAAGTACTCCACTGGTGTGAGATACTTTAAAATGACTGAAGATTGCCTCTGAGCAAAAGTGAATATTGGAGCCTGATCTGATGTTGCAATCCTTAAATAGCTTACTTGGCAGCCATCTAATTTAGAAAAGAACTTTTCTGGAGTAAATGATTTGAAGATAGCGGCCTAAGTGATTAAAAACACCACTGTTGTTCTCAAGGGATATGCTGTTCAGAAGCAATGGAAGCTGGCTATATACTGATTTGCTAAAAGCCTGTAGTGCCCATGCAAGAGGGTGTTGTTCTTACCAAGACAAATTTAACAGGAGTAACCTGAAGTAATCCATTCAGAGTAACATTGTGTGTAGTCACAAATAGGGATGGGGGGGAATGAGTCAGTCTGCATTTAAAGGTGAATCTATCAAATTCACACTTTCTGAAACAATATGAGAAACGAATCACAGTCATCCCTTGAAATTTGCACATCTCTGTTTTGTTTTCACGTTAGTGAAAGCAGAATGCAAAAATGCATTATATTAGGAGAAACCGCTTCTGAAAATATGTACATTAATCAAAATTTGCTCTACTATGCTGGCAAATTTTCGTGAATCTTCAGTTGCTGCCAAAACTCTGGAGTACTAACTTTAAGACTGGGAGAATGAGAAACTGGGAGAAGAGAATTGAATTTGGCAGATATTTCCATCCATAGTCACAAGTGGTATGTCCTCAAATCCTGGTTTCACAGATAGGGCTGAGAATGTCTGAAATCCTGGAGAGTCATTGCCACACAGTGAAGACAATCCTGAATCAAATCTTGACGAACCATAAGGCAGTTATACGAACTCTGTAAAAGGCAGTTTCCTAGGTACCTGGACAGAAAGAGCTGGACACAGGGGCTCCTCTGCCCTATCAAGAGCCTCTCCAGAGTGGCAGATTCAGGGTTCAGATGGGTTTACAGTGGTACCTCGGGTTAAGTACTTAATTCATTCCGGAGGTCTGTTCTTACCCTGAAACTGTTTTTAACCTGAAGCACCATTTTAGCTAATGGGGCCTCCCGCTGCCGCCGCGCTGCCAGAGCCCGATTTCTGTTCTCATCCTGAAGCAAAGTTCTTAATCTGAAGCACTGTTTCTGGGTTAGCGGAGTCTGTAACCTGAAGCGCATGTAACCCGAGGTACCACTGTATTTTAGTATTATTTTTAATTAAAACTCTTCTATTCTGCCTTTCCTTCAGAATTACAAGGCAGATCTTCTTCTTCTTCTTCTTCTTCTTCTTCTTCTTCTTCTTCTTCTTCCTCTTCTTCTTGAAAGACCTACACTGGCTCCCAGTACGTTTCTGAGCACAATTCAAAGTGTGTTGATGCTGACCTTTAAAGCCCTAAACGGCCTTGGTCCAGTATACCTGAAGGAGCGTCTCCACCCCCATCGTCCAGCCTGGACACTGAGGTCCAGCGCCAAGGGCCTTCTGGCGGTTCCCTTGCTGCGAGAAGCCAAGTTACAGGGAACCAGGCAGAGGGCCTTCTCGGTAGTGGCACCTGCCCTGTGGAACGCCCTCCCGCCAGATGTCAAAGAGAAAAACAACTACCAGACTTTTAGAAGACATCTGAAGGCAGCCCTGTTTAGGGAAGCTTTAAATGTTTAATAGGTTATTGTGTTTTAATATTCTGTTGGAAGCCGCCCAGAGTGGCTGGAGAAATCCAGCCAGATGGGTGGGGTATAAATAATAAATTCTTCTTCTTCTTCTTCTTCTTCTTCTTCTTCTTCTTCTTCTTCTTCTTCTTCGATCACTTGTAGCCATAAACACAGTTTTAACAGTGAGTCCGTAAGTGACTGTGGAGACCAATTCTGGATCCACACATCCTTCCACAGTGGGGACATAGGTTTCCGTGTGGGAGTTGATCACGGTGAGGGTTTGCCAAGCGTGCCTTCCTCTTCTTTTCGTCCTGAGTTTGAGCGTCTTCAAAGCCCATGATACCTTTGGTGAAGGCTGTTCTCCAACTGGAGCACTCGCAGGTCAGTGTTTCCCAGTTGTTGGTGTTTATACTACATTTTTAAAGATTTGCCTTGAGGGAGCAAATTACAGCAATACCAATACAAGGCAGCTCACAACAATACCAATGAACAGGCTCTAACAATAATCACAGTTCAAGCTAATATTAAAAATACTGCAAGTAAATGAAACACTGATAAAGGGACCAGGGACACCCCCCTCCCCCCCAAAAATGGCCTTTCCCATTCAGTTTAATGGCAAAGCCAACTTTTCATTTACTACACATTCACATGTTTTGCAACATACAGGAGATGCTTAGGACCACACAGAAGGAATCACAGATCCTCCTACCTACCATAGGTAGTTCAAAGCTCAGAGGGGCTGTAATACAGGGAATGATCAGACCCATTCCAGACAGAGTCTTGCTCTTACTGGGCCCAAATGATTATTCTATTGGCAGCCCTAAACGGCCTCGGTCCTGCATACCTGAAGGAGCTTCTCCACCCCCATCGTTCTGCCCGGACACTGAGGTCCAGCCCTGAGGGCCTTCTGGTGGTTCCTTCACTGTGAGAAGTGAGGTTACAGGGAACCAGACAGAGGGCCTTCTCAGTAGTGGCACCTGCCCTGTGAAACGCCCTCCCACCAGATGTCAAGGCAATAAACAACTATTTTACTTTTAAAAGACAACTGAAGGCGGCCCTGTTTAGGGGAGTTTTTAAATGTCTGATGCTGTATTGTTTTTAATATTCGGTTGGAAGCTGCCCAGAGTGGCTGGGGGAACCAAGCCAGATGGGCGGAGTATAAATAAATTATTATTATTATTATTATTATTATTATTATTATTATTATTATTACCCTGGGAAATAGGGAAGTAGATTTGTTTCATTTTGCATGTTAACATGATCCTACCTAACTGCTACTTCTCAACCCCATGTGTGAACTGAAATGCAACCATCCTTTGACGTAAACACTTCTCTGAATTTTGTGGTGCAGTTCTCCAGCCAAAAAATGCATATATTAGGAGAAAGTCTGCCCACAAATTGGTATATTTTAGGAAAAGTGATATTGAAAGGTATTATTTCTTTATTAATTTTGCATACTGCCCTTCTTCTGAAGATCACAGGGCGGTTCACAACCCAAAAAATACAAAATGAGAACACAAAATTCATAATAAAAAACCAACCAACCAATAACCCTCCTCCCATAAACACATTTAAAATGGCATAGAATATTAATCAGCTAAAGGCCTAGTTATAAAGAAGGTGCCATATGTAATGAAGGTGCCAGGCAAGGTTCCCTGTGAAGAGCATTCCCCAAATGGGGAGCCACCTCAGAAAAGGTCCGTTCTCATGTTGCTGCATCTGGACCTCTCATGGAAGAGGCACAGAAAGATCCATTATATTAGGGGAAATGGCTTGCAAAAATGCATGCTGTTGGCAATTTGGTTTTAAAAGGTGTGTATTAGGAGAACACATAAAAACATATGTAGATTCTTGTGCAGACTTTTAAAAAAGAAAGAAAATGGGATAAACTGAATTCAAGACTGGAAAAATGAGGAACAGAGAGAAACCAAAATTGGCACATTTGTCCATCATTGCTGAGGAAGTACTTTATCCACATCTAGAGCTCTGAGCCTTTGAATTTTGAGGCAAGTCTCTCTGCAGTTAAGATGTCCTGCAAAAACTCAAGATTCATATATATCATTTAAAATGTGAAACCAAGTGACATTAGCCAGAGATTTATTATCAGCAAAGGCATCAAGTAGAGAGCATTTCATTAAATCAGATTTAAACATATTGTCACGACGAGATGCCTGTGTAATTTGCTCTGTAAAAACATGAATCCCGCAGGTTGCCATAAATTATTTGTTAAGTTATAAACAGTAAACATCCCTTTCAACATTATTTGCTCATTATCATTAGGCGTTCTTTAATCAGTTTCTGATTTGGGAAGTTTCCTCACCTAGAGAGAAACTTGCTTCATCCGACAAACCAGAGTGTCGTTTGTTGTTCAAGTACATTTGATTGGGACAAATAAATACTTAATTGGAAGAATTGCTTGGGGCCAGATGGATTTCTCCAGGCTACATACCGGGGAAGCATTAAGAAACAAGTTGATATGGCTGAAGGAATTAAGTAAAACCCCCAACCCACTGGGTCAAAGCTAGCTATCCAAATTCATTGGGTGCTTATCTTGTAATAGAATGAGCAAATGATTGTTCTCATGCACAATGGTTTGGAGAACTTTTTAAAAATTAAGGTTGTTATGGGTTTTTGTTTTAGTATTGTATGCATTTTTAGGTCTTCCCAGGTTGCCCCAATGAAGGAATTTCTGAACTGTGAAACATTTTGAGCACAATAAAACATTATGACACTTAGATAACATATTCTGTCCCCCCCCCATTTGTTTAACATGTATCCCCTTCACCATCCAAGTTCATTTCATACCACACTAATATATAATTCCATTATTATTTTTTAAATGTAACAAACACCTGCAGAACTTGATCTTCTGCAGGGCCTGTAAGACACAGCTATTCTGCCTGGCCATCAATTTGAATTAGCTTGATCCTCTATTCCCTTTTTCCTTTCCTCTTCTATAAAGAAACCATTTCTGGGACCCCACTTTTAAATTCTTCCCTGGTCTCCTTGTTGGCCCTAGTAGGACCAACTTGGCCAGTTAGCCCTGGTGATCCTTCTGTGTCTACTGACGGGTTTTTTCCCTTTCCAAACATGACCCCTGAATTTTTGAATTTTAATGATATGGAGGCTACATTTTGTGTTGTATTCTATGCTGCTTTATGCTGTTTGTAAGTTGCATTTTAATCAATGTTTTATATTTGTTGTTAGCCGCCCTGAGCCTGGTTTTTAAATAATAATAAATGAATTATTATTATTATTATTATTATTATTATTATTATTATTATCATTATCATTATTATTAAAATACATATTTTGAAGTGCATTTTCTTTCAAAATATGAATTTCTAACGGATGTATCCAATCAAACTGTCCTGTTAGCTCTCCTCTTTCTTGTGCCCTCATCCCCCCCAGGGGGAAAAACCCTACTCTAGAGGGTTGGTGGAAGCCCTAGAAAAGATTTAGAGTGCATGGTGTAGAGAAAAGGAAAAGGAAATCCCACAGCTAATGCAATGACTTCATTGGCTATAACCCTAGATGCATTTTCTCTCAAAATACAGATTTTTGAAAATACAGGGTTTTTTAAAAATAAAATAAAATCCAAGAACTGTACTGGTACATTTGGGAAACATAAAAGCTGGTGGATAGCGAAGTTCCAAGCCACACACTAATTTGGGAGGTGCCAATCAGGTTCACTGGTATTCCATTCATAAATTCCTCAAGCATAGGAATGGGCTCTTAAGGAAACTGCCTGGTCTCAAGGTGGTGCCTATAAGAACAAAACTACTACTTGATTAACATCATTAGCACGCAAAGGAGATGTGATACCCACTCAATCTCTTCTATAGCCATTAGCAGTCAGTGAAAAAATTGGAGGCCTTCCCACTTGGATAACCAAAATGCCACACACCTGCAAGCTACCTGCATGTTTTGAACAGTGTGGCCTGGTCATTCTCACAGATATAGCAGTGTCAGCAGCAGCACATGTCTTACTGATCTGCTTCTTCCATGACAAGGCAAAGGCAGCTGTGCCTGGAGCAATCATAGAATCATAGACTTGTGGTGCTAGAAGGGACCCCGAGAGTCATCTAGTCTAACCCGCTGCAATGCAAGAATCTCAACTAAAGCATCCATGGCAGATGACCAACCAACCTCTGCTTAAAAACCTCCAAGGAAGGAGAGCCCGCAACCTCCTGAGGGAGACAGTTCCACTGTTGAACAGCTCTTACTGTCGGAAAGTTCTTCCTGATGTTTAGTCAGAATCTCCTTTCTTTGTAACTTGAAGCCATTGGTTTGGGTCCTAGCCTCCAGAGCAGGAGAAAGCAAGCTTGCTCCATCTTCCATGAGAAGCCCTTCAGATATTTGAAAATGGCTTCTTCTTTTCCTGGCTAAACATACCCAACTCTTTCAACTGTTTCTCCTAAGACTTGGTTTCCAGACCCTTGATCATCTTGGTTGCCCTCCTCTGCAGCTTTCAAGTGATAAGTGGAGCTGATGATGAATGTGAGGTGTGGTGGGGCAGAGTCAAAAGGTAGCCTCCCTTCCTGCTTGTTCCTTCCAAATGGTGCAGGTGAGATGACAGGAAGTGTTACCTGTCTTGGGAAATACGGGAGCCTCCACTCTAGTCCAGAATTCGAAACATCTCATCTACACATTTGATGGGAATGTTAAGTAAGTCCAAAATACTGTACCTGAAAGGGCAGGGAAGTCTGGTACCTGGGTAAGGTTCCTTTCATTATACCACATAGCCAGTTAATCAAGATTTGAATGGACATCAAGCTGTAGCTTTCACTCTGTCTGTTTATTAGCTTTCATTATGAGCAAAGCTAAGGTGCAATTGTTAACAAGATGGATTATGCTGTAAAGAACTCTCTCTCTCCTTTTCTCTCTCTCTCTCTCTTCACACATCACCCCTTCATAAGTTTAGTTATTAAACTGTACCACGGTGATGTATTATGTAAAGGAGGTTTAAAATGTAAGGTGACAATGACCTTCCCCTTAATTAGATGTGATGGAAATAAAGGTGAGAACAATGATGATGAAGCTGTGCTGGGAACTATAAATCATCTGCTACCCTGGCAGACAGGACACAGCTACCAAAATAACTTTGCAATTCATAGGTTAAATGAGTGTTCCAATGAGGTGCACACCATAATTATTTATCTGTTGTGTGTTGGTGCACATTTACTATACAGTTGCGATCCCTTATCAAAGAATCGGCTTTCAAACAGGACTCATGGTTAAAAGTAGGGGCTGTCCACTGAAGTGCTTTCTTCTGCATTAGCCCCATTGGAATGAATGGGAGCTGTGCTGAGCTCTTGAACATAGATTTTTTTTAAAAAAATTCTGTGCTGTGCTCTTGAAGTTTTGTTTAAAATTTTTTGATACTTGTAAGCAGGGATTTAAGAAGATTTAAGATTTTCGTTTTGATACGTGTTTGACCCACGCAGTGTCGTTTCTGTTCCGCTGCAGTTCAGCTGACAACGAAGAACTTGTTATCATTTCCCTCTGACCACTGTGGGGAAATTTCACATAATTAATTACATTATTGTTACCTTATCCCAGATCTCTGCCTGGGAAGAATGAGTCCTGCAACACCTAATGGCCCTCAGCTACACTCCTTCGGCATTTTGAATTGCTCTCATTGTATCAACTTCATATGTCTAAGAGTTGCTATCCTATTCAATTTCTGATGATAGCCAATCAGCTTTTGAAGGTGTTTTTTTGGGGGGGGGGGGGAACATACCACCACCATCAAGCATTGTTAAAAGATGCCTTGATTTCAGTGGAAGTTCAGCGCTGTCTTTAATCTATCTCACTCAAATAAAAGGCTCTTCCAAGTGCTTAACTTTGGCCGGGGTTTTGTGTTCTTTGTTTTCAACAAGCTGTGCTCTTAAAAATGCAAGAGATTGGAGCCTTCAACAACAACAAAAACATGTGAAAGTCAAATCAATTTGACTGGATCATTTTGAAAGCAGTTTTTAGCTTAGTTTATTACCATTTTAATACTTTTTTTCCATGCTTGGTGCTAATCAAGCATGACAAATAGGCTCACCTCTGAACACACTTGGCACTAATAATGCCATAAAATAGCCCTCTTTAATTGTTACCTCAGGCCACAGTCATCAAGCAGGCCCATAAAAAGGAACTCATGACAGCTTTCACTTCTGCAGGATTTATACAGGAGGTCTCACCTATGCTTGGCTGGTGTATGTTTATGTTACCCTATTAGCAGAACCCTTATTAAACAAAAGAAGTAATATAATGGATTTTCTTCTCCTTCTTGCAATCACCTTGCACACAAAACCTAAATACTACCGTGCTGCCACTACCAATACTTTACCCTCCAAAGGAATGAAGGAAGTGGCAGTCAAGTGAGCTTCAGCGCTGATGTCTTTTTATTGCAAGGTGAATAGTTCAGATCTATAGGTCATTGTGATGACTTTGCTGCCCTCCTCACCTTCCACAGAGTAGGGGCTGGCTCACATACACCCCCAGCCTACAATTCTCTTTCCACAGTAGAGGAGAGGGCGTGTACCTAAGGGAACATGTGAGGTGGCAGTTTCCACGGACATCCAATTTGTGCCCTACTTCTTCCTGAAAAGGAGAGGTTTGTGAATACTTCAGGTGTTGCACCTGCCCCAAATGACCAAGACTTGGTCTCAGAAGGCAGATATTATTGCTCAGCTGTGGCTGACAGACAGAACAGTAGACACACCTGCTCCTAGTCCTCCCTCATGTCACCAGTAGGCCACAGCAGACCCATAGGTCCCAGCACTTCAGAAGGAGAAATGGTTGGACCCCAACTCTCCATGGTCCCAGCCAGACTGAACAATGGTCAGGGAATGATGGGGGTTGTAGCCCATCCCTGGTTTGAGTAACTGGGAGATTTATTCTTGGTGGTTAAAAACCACCTTCAACTTCAGAGGAATCTGATCTGACAACTGGGCATAGGCATTTATGGGCCCCATGTGGAGTGCCCACCTTTGTCTTAGTGGAAGTGGAGCAATCCTTGAAAACAATTGTCAGCTTAGTACTTAGTGTGAACTGCCCCAAAGTCATCCTATTTTTCTATGGTTCAGCTCCAACCAGTGCCGCCCAATGACCACAGAGAATATTGTGATCTGTTTTGAAATGAGCCAATACAAATCCTGGCCAGTAAAGGCCGGATAAAAAAAGTGGTAGACCCTCTTGGGTGAAATTATCATTGTCACTTTGGGGTGTGTCGTTATTATGATAGGACAGACTGCTTATTGACAATTATTAATCCATGGCTATTTGTTTGATCCAGCCACTGCCTAGTTTGCAATATTACACAGTGGGTGATTGCTTCAGAGCTACAGGAAAACTTGAAAGTTAATGGGACCACTGACCCTTTCCATATCTAGTTTTCCAGCAAGGTATGGGGCTGCAGGCAACATTGGCCAATGAACCATTGCCTCAGAATGAAAAAAACCCACAAATGTACCTCAGGTGTTGGTGTGCTGCTTTCAGCTACACTCCAGCTAACAAGCAACATTTAGATCACTCGCACCACCCAGATCAGGGCTGGCCAACCCATGAGGCAAGGTAAGGCAACTGCCTCGGGCAGCAAGCTCCACAGGGGCAAAAGATCCTGATGTACAGTAGACCTTTAAAGGTAAAGGGACCCCTGACCATTAGGTCCAGTCACGGACGACTCTGGGGTTGCGGCGCTCATCTCGCTTTATTGGCCGAGGGAGCCGGCGTACAGCTTCCGGGTCATGTGGCCAGCATGACTAAGCCACTTCTGGCGAACCAGAGCAGTGCACGGAAACGCCATTTACCTTCCTGCTGGAGCAGTACCTATTGCACTTGCTTTCGAACCGCTAGGTTGGCAGGAGCAGGGACCGAGCAACGGGAGCTCACCCCGTCGCGGGGATTCGAACCGCTGACCTTCTGATCGGCAAGTCCTAGGCTCTGTGGTTTAACCCACAGCGCCACCCTCCCTGTTCCTGATGTAAATCATTACTCATCCCTTCTTCCCTGGCAGGGAGGTGGGGTGTCATTTTGTGGTTCACGTCAGGTAGCAAAATATATTGAGCTGGTCCTGACCCAGCTCCTAAGTGCTTGACCAACTTTCTAGTCTCACGCTGAATGCTTGGTGGGCCATCTTTGTTTCCCTCTGCTGAGCTATGTAGTACTTTTCTGCCATATACTCATGCTGAGAGGGGAAAGTACGCTTTTTTGGCTGACAGCTTGGTTTGCTGCCTGAATCAGATCTCAAATCTGTCATAAGGATCTGAATATTTTATGATTATTGCCACCCAGTGGCCAAAAGGAAGAAAAGTTTGCTTAACAAAGCAAGATTGATCATGTCCTTGGAACTTGAAGACCCTTTTCCAAGATGGATGCCAGGTGGAGCGCTTTGTGAACTGAGACAAAAATAATCCCTATTTAGTTGCCTTGCATCTTTCGTGGGGCTCCTTCTTTTACATATCTCAGTGCAGTTTGGTGTTTTGCTTTTCCCAAACATCTGGTTTGTCACAGAACAGATTATCTGTTCGTTCATTGAGACAATTCAGCCCAGAACAGTGCATACCACTAATGTTTGCCCTCTCCAATAAATCCAATCTTATTGCTGTCAAAGAATCCTTCTCATTCTGATAGTGTTATTTCTAGCATCTTAACTAAAGAGAGTGCGTGTGACAAGGGGGAAGGATTTTAAATGTCATTTCTGAACGTAAACTGCAGAAATTGACTGAAGTTTTTAATTCTATATTTTAACGATACGGATTGCAAGGTCTTACTTCTTGAACTATGAAGAGGGGACAGACTCTCGAGGATTTTAAAAAACATATATTATGGCGCTTAGAAGTTCTCCTTTCCTAGGGTTACAGCGCTGACAAGATGGAGAGGATGCTGGCATGTCGCTGGTTTCCAGAATACATGAAATGCAAATACCTGCTATGAATAATTTATCGTTTACTATCATATCTAGAAAATTGCATTATATGCATTTCAATGACAGATGCAGCCAACTGAGCACTTGATAAACTCTGTTCCTCTGCTGCCCCCCCCCCCCCAGTGTATCAGTGGCTGGGATTTGGGAGGAAATTCTGACTGCTCCCTTCCAAGTTGCTCTGCTTATTATATTTATGCCCCTGAAAAACTCTGGGACGCACATAGGATTCGCAGATGATCTCTCAACCAAGCAACTTATAGAGCCAGAAGCTCTTTAACTTCAGTGGTAAAACTGTCTTGGCTGCATTCTGAATGCCTTCCTCCTTCCTAGTCTTGCTTGCTTGTTCTACAGTCACCAAGCAAGGAAGCATGAAGAAGAGAAAGGAAAAGGAACAAGTTTCTCCCTCTGGTATGGGGTGTGGATGGATCTCGTTTGGGAATGTCAAATGAACAGACAGAAGTGACTGAAATGGTGGGCCCACAGTGCAGTTTGCCCAAGCGTCTGGAGCCAACCCTGGTCAGTGCTATATGAAATGGATCACCAATGTAGGAGGTACTATAAGGAAAAACTGACTTGGCAGTTGGATGAAACGTGGTAACAAGAGAAGCCCCCCCCCCCCCATGACACATTCTCTGGCTTCCAGCATTTCAGACTTCTCTGGCCATACCTGAAGGACCGTCTCCACCCCCATCATTCACTGAGGTCCAGCTCCCAGGGCCTTTTGGTGATTCCTTCACTGTGAGAAGTGAGGTTACAGGGAACCAGGCAGAGGGCCTTTTTGGTAGTGGTGCCTGCCCTGTGAAATGCCTACCCATCAGACATCAATAAACAGCTATCTGACTTTTAGAAGACATCTAAAAGCAGCCCTTGTTTAGGGAAGTTTTTAATGTTTGAACTTTTACCGTGTTTTAAATGTTTTGTTGGGAGCTGCCCAGAGTGGCTGGGGAAACCCAGCCAGATGGGCGGGGTATAAATAAATGATGATGATGATGATGATGATGGTGATGCAAGGATGATGGTTCTGTGCTACAAAAATCCATTCCTCTAGAATAACTTTTTAATTTCCTAGAAGTGACCAAAGCAACCCCCCACCAAAGAACGCGTTTGTTTTGCTCTGCACGCCAAATGGATATGAAAAAAAGTATTTTGCGCGTTGACATTTTCTGGTTCTAATTTATTCCGTTGACAAAGAAAATATGATAAAGGAACTAGTCAAGGATTCATTGCTTTGTAAACAATGAGATAATAATTAGAATATTGTAAGCCAATTGTCTCTGCCCAGCCATGTTTCGAAACACAGTCTACTTTCTTTCTTACTTTTAACTGGGCTGTTGTCAACTGAATTTGCCTTTGTTTTAAAAATTGCTTTACGCAGCTGAATTCTGGGTTCGGCAAAGCTAAGGAAACCCACACCAGGAAGAGATGGTCAGTCACCCTTCTTGTAATTGCCTTGGTAACTTCAGACGGGACTGAGGTATGAGATGCTTTCAACACATTGGCCTCTAACTTGAGGCACATTCAGCTAGGTGTAACACCAAGAAGATCCAAGAAACAGCAGCAATTAGCTATTTGGAAAATCTGATCAGCATCGAGATTATGTCTGGGGCTATCAATGTGCTGCTCATTGGTTGATTGGTATCAGGAATCTCAGGCAGAGAACTCATTTGCACACATAATTCTCCATCCAGTGCATAGATAGAAAGCTGTTTCATTGTATGCATCATTCCTAGCTGAGGTGGGGTTTTTCTGAGTATACATGGAAATAGCTTATATCCATATAGGCAGGAATGCTCTAAAAAGTGTGGATGTGTTTAACCAAAACACTGAGCATACCAGAGACCTTGTGTGTAGACATATCATGTCTTTGTTTTAAATTATCATAATTTATATGATAAATAATAGTCATGAAGTGAAATCTTATTTTCCCCTTTCCGCAAATGTTTTTCACAGATCTCTAATTTGTTATAAAAAAATTCAGGGTTTGAAAAATCAAGAATTTGTCCCCCATTTTGTGTTGCAATATCACTTTTTTAAAATAAATTATTCCCTTCTGCTATCTAAATAATTATCTTTCATTTGATCAGGTCTGATGTTTTTATGAATATACCTCAGCAACACAGTCTGACTTCTAAGTCAGGCTGCGTTGCTGAGCTATATTCATAGGTTTTTCTTTTTAAAATAAACTTTATATTTCAGACAGAGACAAAATATTAAGGGCATAATATTGTAATCGTCCAACTGCACTGAGGTGATTTTTTATTATTATTATTATTTTACAATAAAGAGGTATATAAATTTTATGAAATAAATAAATTTGAAGTCTCGTTGGTTTCAGTGGAAGTGTTCGGCACTTAAATCTCTCCCTCTGAAATCAGACCAGTTTAGGTCTAGGACTGTGTCCTAGAAATGTTGTAAAAGTAGAAAAAGAAAGATATAAACATTCAATCACCCTGTCACTGAGGAACATGGAAATAAGTGTCAGTATATATTTAAATGCTTGCTTTCACCTTTTAACAGAACCCTGTCGTTTCCAACCCTTCTAAGTGTCAGAAAAATTAATCTATGTCAACGAACATATGCTTTTTGGTATTTCAAACAAAATCTGATGTTGCGCTAGTCCTTTGCCTTGTTAGCTCTTACACTTGAGTTTCCAGACAGGTTATCCCTTTCTGCAGTGCACAGAAAGGGCATACATAATGCTTTTCTCACCAACAGAATGAATTTAGTTAGTGCTCATCCCCAGCCGAGTGGGGCTAAGTCCATTTCCATTGTTGACTTGACAAACGGGGAATGTCCTTCGTTTTCAGCATTTGACCTTGTCTAATTATGGAGAATTGGTGCAGCTGTTACAGCTTCACTGAATGTTAAAACCCAATAATCTCTCTCTCTCTCCTTTTAAAAAAAACACAACAGCAACTTTTGAGCTGCCATCATAAAACTCTGTTTTGAAGGCTTCATCAGCATGCTGGGTACCTGTCTTTGCTTGGTACTATTTAGTTCAATTAACTTGCTTTGACAGTGCATTTTGGCAGACAGGAAGCATTCCCACTGTCTCATGTCTGGCTTTCTTTCACACCTACTTTACAAATCTCTGGATGGTTTCAAGAGAGCCACTTTAGAAATGGCAAGATAAAAATCATCTGGAAATAATTGATCTATTCTAAAGTTATAAACAAACACTGGTGTGAAAAAAAAAATACGAGCAAAGCCAGGAGGGGAGGGAAACAGCTTGCAAGAACTCTGCACATTTGCTCCCTTCTTACATGGATTATTTGCTGCTGGAGATGATTTCATACAAAGTGACCTTAAAATCAGCAGAGTGTATGGCATGGAGGATGAATTTGAATATGGGGATTTTGATTTGGGCTCCCAATACCATTCTAAATGCCACTTGGCATTTTGGTATTGGGTTCAGAATAAATTCTGGTTTTCATTGTTAAATAAACCAAAATTTGGAGCCGTGGAGGGCTATTACCTTTTTTTAATAACTGACCCCTCATCAAGGTTCTTCCACCTGACACAACAGGCTCCTGAAATATCAATAAGGTTTCACACACACCCCAGTCTTCCCAAGCCTCTCCTGGTATCAGTTGTAACCTGTTTCGTGACGCTTGGATGTATCTCCTTTGTGAAGTCACATTGACAATTGTATTTCTATCTCTTAACCAGCTATAAAATATCAAACATGATACTGCATGATGCTATATTTCCTTCTGGAAATGCTGTCTTGCAATATCTTGAGATTTTGTAGCTTAAAAAAAATCTGAAAATTTTCCAGGAGACTTGGATCCAGTGGGTTGGATTCATCTAATGGGTCCTGCTAGCAGAAGTTCTGCATCAACCACTCAAGCACTTTGTTAGGCTTCTTTTTCATAATTTATTTTTTTTAGTGGTAGAGTGATCTCCAAACCAAAATACAGTTGAGGGAGGGGAACACTGGATTTCTGGGATCTGCTACAGCTCTACTTTATATCAGTGGATGTTCTACAAGTCCATACATTTTAATTGCTCCCTCCCCCAAGTTGATGGCCATTGCCATTCAAATGGTATGCATGCACCATGTCATGTGATAGATTATGAGGAGCAGGGCTTACCTGCCCCCCCCCATTTTATTCAAGTTAGCACCCCTGTGATTTACATTTGTTCTGATTCAGCAGGTAGACAGTGGGTTTTCTGGGGAAAGCATTGGGACAAAAGAAAAAAACACACGCTCAGACCCGTACCTACAAATCACAGACCAGTGCCTACAAATTGTGGCACAAACCGAAGCTCTGGATGAGCTCTTAGTGTTCATTCATGTGCAATAGGTTCTTTGCATTTGATCACCATATTCCTATTTGACTTAATAAATATCTGGTGGCTGGCTGTCCTTAGTGACCAGCAGATGACTGAGAGCTACGTACAACATTTAATGGACATAATTAGAGTTACAGTTGGAAATGCTAAAAAGCATCCCTAATTTATCTTTTAAAAATGTTTTTATTGATTTTCCAATAGCGTTCCAATAGCAGCTTCATTATAACAATACCAATTTTATCCAATTAATACAATCATTAATGCCAATTATTCCAATGTTGAATTATACAATTTAATCAAACTGGCCTCCCCGCTCTCTTGATGACTTCATTCTTCTACATTTTTTTCTGTGTTTCAAAATCTTAATACTTTCCATTCCATTCCATTCAGATAAAATAATCCCTTATATAACAGGTGTAATCTTGTGATTTTATGTGCGTTGGTATATTAGGTAATTTATAAAGTTTCAAGTGAGGAACTCTAACTGTAATCCTTATTCTTTCCTGTTTGTGACAGTCCCCCTCCACCATGATGTTTTCCCATCCATATATGGTGTTATATGCTTAATTCCTACAACTGTTGATGGTTCCAGTCATGCCTCAGGAGAAGCGGTTATCTCACAGTTTCCAAAAGTCGCTGCATCACTTCATCCCATGATTTGGCTTCCGGTAAACAAGCCATCTTCACCATATTTTCAGCATAGGAAGAACGCTCTGAATCCAGACTGCAGATAATTCATCCAAAAGCTTCTATTCCCACAGCTGGTAGACTCCTTTCTTCCCTGCCACTGATTTACAGCCAATTATCCTTATCTAAAACATATTCCTTTGTGGACAGCGGAGCTTAGGGAGCACTTGTTCCATATTTTCAAAGCGTAGCATTTCCGCCCCCCTCTCAGTTCCTTTCTCTCACACACACAGTTCCGATTTTGTTAAACTCCATATCTATATTCCAATTTCTTCCTTCCTCACTTGTACAGATTTTTTTAAAAAAACAACAACAACATGCATTCTGAGGAGGGTTGCTGTATCATAAATGTAGAAAAAAACCTTTGATATAAGCAAACTGTGGGTTCCCCTCCCCACACCGTCTCTTTCACCAAATGAAATCTGCTCTCAATCCAAACCTTTTAAATCCTCGTAGCTGGGTTCATTTCAGCAGTTTCTTATCTCATCATCTCTAGCATGCGCCTGTAGTTTACTCCAATAAAAAACAACAACCAATTATCATGATAACCTGTGCTTCCAGGAATGGGATTGGGGGGCGGGGTCATGGCAGCCAGAGTGCTCCATGCACCTAGTGCCTTTGCCTGCCCTCACATTCCATGGGGAAGCAAGTGCCAGACCGCCAGGCACACTGCGGGTTGGAGCCAGGATCCTCTTCCAACTGAAAATGCAATTCCTCCATCATTTTCTGATTATCTTTCTGTCTCTCTCTGTGGTGTTGGGAGAAGCATCCATCCCCTGATGCACAGGAAAGAGGAAGCCACATCCCTGATTTATCTTATCCAAGTAGAGGGGTTGGTTGTTGTTTTTTTGGCAGCATTGCTTTCTTTCACCACCTGTATCAGATTGGCCTGACTTGTGAACACCCTCCTGGAAGTATTGTATAAAAAGCAGGGTGTCACACACAAACGGAAAGGGGCACAGTTCAAAGGATTATAAACCAGCTAGTCTGGGTTTAGAAGTGCTTGGCTAATATCCTCTCAGTGTATTTGATCATTTCTTAGGTGCTCGCTTCACACCGCAGGGGTCAGGAATAGCAGGCGCTGTACTTGTTTAGCTGAGATCTAAGCTCTCTCAACAAACCCTCTCTAAGTTTGCCTGGAAGCCTTCATAAATAATACTCTGTTGTTGAGTTGCGATTCATCTTTGGCGAGCTGAATAATCAATCTGAATGCTGGCTGTACACTGCATGTGTGCGGGCGTCTGTGTGCTCTTGTGCCGCAGATTGAATTAATCCAACTAGGAAAATGCCTTTCATATCGCAGGGGAAAACAAGAATGGCACGCTGGAATGTTTGGGCTTTTCGTGGCGGAATGGAATTGTTTTAGCTAACCTTAATTTAGTAAGACCCAATTAAAAGGCAGTATTTGGGAAGGTGGATGTGCCCAATCTTTTGTTCTTGCTGATTTTATTTTTTTGACTTGATCACTGTCATTTTCATGGGAGGAAGCAGAAGTTCTGCAAATCACTGCTAAATTGTGGATCACCTGAAATAACAGTACGCTCAGGAGGATTATTTAAAGCAAGGGGCTTGTTTCTGGGGTTTCCAACTGATGGAGGGAGGCAGCTGGTTGTTTTTCCGGGATTACCAGGTAAAGCTTTTCATGCAATAGAGATTTGTTGTCATAGAATTAAGCTGCTGTTAAGGGCACAGGAGAAGAGGGTGATACAGACTTGGCAGCTCTATCAGTTTCAGTCCCCCATTCTTCTGGAAGAGATGCATCTCACATTAACGCTGTTTAAATAAACGGCCTTTTTTGTAATCTAATCTCAACCTTCCCCACTGTCACTGAAATCTCTTGGCATTCCTTCCCCCAAATCTGAAATGGGGCTTCCAAGTATTTTATTTTGTGCGTATAGACCCCACCTCCCAGTAAAAATGACGGGCAGCCAGTTGTGAATACACAGTTGGAGATTATATCACATATACTTCAGCTGTAGTGCTAAGGTATGGTGAAAAAACAACAACAAATCTTCATTTTTAAAATTCATAAATGCTTCACCCAGAGATACTAAGAAATGTGTGTGCACATTCCAAAGCTTTTTTTTTAAAACCCCTATATGCTTCCCAGTTTTCCATGAGGAATCCATTACAATGGGCATTGCAATAGCATCATCTCCAGGAAATGTCACAGTTATCGCCAATTTCTTGTGCAGTGGAATGCAACTTCTTACAAACCCGCTATATTTAATTTTTTAATTTTTTTTTTGCAAAGCTGAGCATTTGTGCAGATATTTCAAGGGTTAATTTTATTTCCATTCTGGTGAGTTTTGCTTGCCATTATTTCCTTTTCCTTTTCCTTTTCTCCCTTTTAACTGATTCATAGCATAAAATCTTCCTGGACACCTAATTATCAAGCCAGCTCGCAGTCACAGCTGTCTGCTTGAAGAACCCATTAGATGCAGCAGTTGAAGCCTCCATAATTCCCCAAACTTCCCGGTTGTGAATATTAAGAAAAGATTTTTACATGTCATATGCAATTCGGAGGTGGTGTGAATGGCGTTGGAAATGACGAGCGCTGAATGCTTGTCCATCATTCCATTCACTGGTTACAGGTGGTCTCATTTTCCACTTTCAGATATCGGCTAGCTATGACAGCAGGCACTTAATTTGCATGTTCGACAGACAACAAACGGCCCTGTGCATGTCAAAATAAGTGGTGATGCGTGACAGTTCCTACACAATACCGTCTCCTCTTTGCTTGACCTTTGACCTCCCTGCATGTCTTCCTTCACAATAAGGAAAAAAAAATGCACTTTTCAGCTTTGGAATAAATTTGATACCAAATTGATTATTTTCCTTTCTCCTTTTTCTATTTCTTCATCCTCCTCTCTTCTTTTAAAGTGCGCAGGCATCCCGGCTTTCATCTTAAGAGCTACAAAACTCTGCCAGAAGAGCTTTCGCCTCATAAAATTTAAAAATAGGTAGGCAGCTTGGACAGGAAGCTGCCTTGTTAAAATTCATTGTAGTTAAATAGTTTGGAGGATCTTTGTAAATGCAAATGTAACCTTTAAAAGAGAGCTTAAGTCAGGTTAATATTTGATTAAAAAATAAAATTTAAAAATATCACCTGAGGACTTACTTGTACTTAAATGTCCAGAAATCCATATTGAGATATGCAAAGTTCCACCAACTGCGGCGTAGTCCTATACACACTTACTGCCTTGGGAGTAAACCCCATTGAACTCATTGGAATTGACTTTTGAATAGACAGGCATAGGAATGCATTGCTAGTATCCTGTTCACAATGAACACCATCTGATTCATGGATCCACATGTGAAGCAATCATTTGCACACATGGCATTCCATTTTTATTTTATTATTAGTGAACATTAATGAGGGGGAGTATGAATCTAGAGGGAAGACATGTGTGAGGAACCTTAGAGGGTTCAGCACGCATATGATGGTGTTGAGCCCAGAGATGAATTTCAGCACCTCAGGGTGCCAGAGTTTTAACATACTTTGACTTCTTTAGAACAAAGAAACAAACAAAAATGTAGTTAGCCTTTGTTGTCAAATCCTATCAAATCCCATGAATTAATATTCCTGCCAACTTGTGAAAATCCAAATACAATGGCTGCTTGCTTTTCACTCTTAGCGCGTGATTAATATAAAGCAAAAAAAGCAAAAAAAGCTGACCAGATCTTTTAAAAGTTACATTCATGAAGCTCATACACCTAAAATAAATTGAAATTGAAATTGAAATACTTTATTGTCACTTGTACAACTTGTATACAGTGAGATTACATGAGCACCCCCATTCAGCTCTCTTAGTCTTAATTCCCCTCGTTTACTGAGGCACACCCACCAAACCCAAAAGTCAGTTGCCCTGTTGTTATCTTTTTATTCAGCAGCCTAACAGCCCACGAATAGAAGCTGTTCTTTACCCTGTTGGTGTGACTAATCATGCTTCTATATCTTCTGCCCGAGGGCAGGAGATCAAGAAAGTGCCGGCCAGGGTGTGAATCATCCCTGAGAATTTTCCTCACTCTCCTGAGGCAACTTTCTTCTGCTATTTCATCCAGCGGATTCATGGGACAGCCCATAATATCTTGTGCTATATTCACCACCCTGCGTAGGCACTTCCTATCAGTTGATGTCAAACCAGCGTACTACACCATGATGCAGTATGAAAGGACACTTTCTATTGTGGACCAGAAGAAGGAGATCATCAAATGTTGATTGACACTGTTCTTCCGCAATACTCTGAGGAGATGGAATCTCTGTTGGGCTTTCTTAACCACCTGGGTTGTATTTCATTTCCAAGTAAGGTTTTTTAAATTTAAAAATCAAGATTATTTGGGTGTGCAACCGTCTGTGAACAATAAGTTTCTCTGTGGGGCATACCAGGAGAGGCGGTCCCGTAGGTACGAGGGTCCTAGGCCGTATAGGGCTTTAAAGGTTAAAACCAGCACCTTAAACCTGATCCTGTACTCCACCGGGAGCCAGTGCAGCTGGTGTAGCACCGGGTGAATGTGATCTCGCAGCGAAGACCCCGTAGGAGTCTCGCTGCAGCATTCTGCACCCGCTGGAGTTTCTGGGTCAGTCTCAAGGGCAGCCCCACGTAGAGCGAGTTACAATAATCCAGTCTGGAGGTGACCGTCGCGTGGATCACAGTGGCTAGGTCAGGGCGAGAGAGGTAAGGAGCCAACTGCTTAGCTTGGCGGAGATGGAAAAATGCCGCCTTTGTTATAGCTGCAATCTGCGCCTCCATGGAAAGGGAGGTGTCGAAGATTACACCCAAACTCTTAACGGATGGTGCTGGCACTAATTGCGCCCCCGCAAGAGATGGGAGTTGCCCCCAATCCCATATCGCCCCGTCCCAGCCACAGGACCTCTGTCTTCGAAGGATTTAGCTTCAACCGGCTCCCACGTAACCATCCAGCCACAGCTTCCAAACATCTGGTCAGTGTGTCTGGGGCCGAGTCAGGATGGCCATCCATCAACAGATAGAGTTGGGTGTCATCGGCATACTGATGGCAACCCAGCCCAAAACTCCGAACAAGCTGGGCGAGGGCGCATAAAGATGTTGAAAAGCATCGGGAGAGTATCGCACCCTGAGGTACTCCACACACCAAGGAGTGGCGTGATGACAATTCCCCCCCAAGTGCCACCCTCTGTCCCCGACCGGAGAGAACGAGCGCAGCCATTGAAGGGCTGTGCCCTGGATCCCCACGTCGGCAAGGCGGTGGTCCAGAAGTTCGTGATCGACCATGTCGAAAGCTGCTGACAGATCTAGAAGAATCAGCAGCCCCGACCCGCCTCGATCCAGCTGTCTACGAAGATCATCTGTTAGGGCGACCAGAGCCGTCTCGGTCCCATGACCAGCGCGGAAGCCGGACTGGAATGGATCCAGAGCCGATGTTTCATCCAGAAACCCACCAAGCTGTTCAGCAACCGCTCTCTCAATCACCTTACCCAGGAACGGAAGATTCGAAACCGGGCGGTAATTGGATAGATCTAAAGGATCTAATGATGTTTTCTTTAAGAGCGGGCGCACCACTGCCTCCTTCAGTTCCCCTGGGAATGTCCCCGTGCCAAGGGACAAATTGATGATATCCCCCAGGAGGGCCCGCACCTCGTCTGGACACGCTCTAATCAGCCAAGGCGGGCACGGGTCGAGAGGACAGGTGGTGGGCTTTCCAGCTCGGAGGAGTCTGTCCACATCGGCTGGGGATATCCGGTCGAAGTGGTCCAATACTGGACCCGAGGACAGTCGAGGGGCCTCCAGTTCCTTTATTGTATCCAAATTGGCAGGGAGGTCATGGCGGAGCAACAAGACCTTCTCCGCAAAAAAGCTCGCAAATGCCTCACAGCTAAGTGTCAAATTGTTATTTAAATTTGGCTGTCCCTCAAGGGACGTTAAAGACCTGATTATACTAAATAATTGCGCCGGGCGAGAGCTAGCGGATGCAATGGAGGCCGAGAAGTAAGACTTCTTAGCAGCCTTCACCGCCATCTCGTAGGTTTTCATAAAAGCCCTATAAGATGTTCTTGAGGCTCCGTCACGGGCACCCCGCCATACTCGCTCTAGCCGTCTGAGGTCCCGCTTCATTTTCCGGAGCTCCTCGGTAAACCAGGGAGCCCGGTTTCTGCGGGGTCGCAGAGGGCGCTTAGGTGCGATCTCATCGATGGCTGCCAGGAGCTGGGTATTCCAGCCCTCAACAAGCTCAGTCAATGAGTCGCCAGGGGGGCAAGGTCCCGCAAGGCTTGGCGGAATCTATCAGGGTCCATCAGCCTCTGCGGGCGAGCCCAAATTGGCTTGCCACCTAAGCAGGGTGGGGGCGGAAAGTCAATCCTGGCTTTCAGAGCGTAGTGATCAGACCATGGCACCTTCATCGATTCAAATCTTTATTATTCTGTTTTGTTTGCAGACACTGAGTGGGTTGCATGGCAAGGCCCTGAGCCCACCCCACTTTAGATCATGAAACACACGGACACCTGTATTTTGGGTTAATGGGATAAATAAGGCCACAACTTTATTGGTTACAGGTGTGAGCGGTATTGGCTTAGGCACTGGAACTGAACCGACTATATCTGACTCCTGCCTGCCGTGCAGGTAGTCTCATAAGGGCCAACCACCAGTAGGGGGAGCTCTGTTGATGTACCGTATTTTTTGCTCTATAAGACTCACTTTTTCCCTCCGAAAAAGGGAGGGGAAATGTCTGTGTGTCTTATGGAGCGAATGCAGGCTGTGTAGCTATCCCAGAAGCTAGAACAGCAAGAGGGATTGCTGCTTTCACTGCACAGTGATCCCTCTTGCTGTTCTGGCTTCTGCGATTCAGAATATTTTTTTTCTTGTTTTCCTCCTCCAAAAACTAGGTGCATCTTGTGGTCTGGTGCATCTTATAGAGCGAAAAATACGGTACATCAGCTGCGAGCTCCCCCAGGGTTCCCGATGGGGTCGTGGCATGGCCCTAGCCCATACCTGGATCCCTTAACTGAATACCCTTAAAAGGGGGGGGGCAGCTGGAGGCCACAATCTCCCCTCCCACCAACCAGGTTTACCAATGCCTAACCGCCAAACCTTACAAAGTTGTGACGATTGCTACGAGGCAAGTGAAAACCACATGGCTGGTGCCAATTGGCCAAGTGGGAAAATTCCTATATGGCCCCCTCAACAGGCGACCAACTGTAGTCCATATCAAGGCCAAGATGGCAAATGCATGAAAATAGGGTGGGAAGCTGCTACTTGTTGCCTGAGTCTGTTTGCACGTTTTACTTAACAAGAGCTGAGAACCAAGGCTTCTACAGCAAAAAGTTCTATAAAGCTCTTCAAGTTAGCTATGCAGGACACAAACCTTAGCTCACAACCACCACTATCTGAGGATTTTGGGCAACGTAAAACTGTTCATGGAAGCAGGGTGGTTCGCCACATCCCTATGCAGAATCACACTCCTGTCTGTTGGGATTCAAGCCTTTATCAGGAGAAACTGGCCACTCTCCAGGCATCCGGCTTGATCTCCTGTTGACCTCCCTGTCTGCATTCCCGGCAGGATCCAGGCTAGGTCGCGATAGGCGATCCTCCTCAGCGTGAGAAGAACACCCCCCCCTCTTTCCTGCCCCCCCTGGGCAGGGGAGAGAGATAGACAGAAACGTATTTACATTCCTTTATTTCTGTCTTTGCAGCGTTACAAAAATCATGTCTGCTCTCTTCAAGCTCCTGCAGTCGAGAGACAAACTCCTCCTGTACTTCCTGTACAGCTCATATTACACTCTGAGCTAATTCCGGTGCCCTCTGCACTGTGAATTGACTGTCCCTCTGTTTCCCACGGAACAGTCCCAACATTCCCATTATGTTTTGCTTTCAAGCTACCAGCTCGCGGCCGCATTGCTTCTATATCGTAACACTGTCCCCATCAAATGCCCACCTCTGTTAGGATTTGTATAGGAAATATATCTGCTTTCTCCAGCATTTGTGGCATCAGCAGCCATTTATTCCAATCCTTACCCTCTCAAGTGTGACAAGAATTTTTAAAACCAACACACCTGGCGGCAAGGATAGTTTTTTTTTTAAAAAAAGGTAGTTCTTAGCAGGCCTTTAAGCAAAGGGTCAAAATTGAATGAGGGCAGGCAGAGCGAACAAGCAATGGAGCCACTGTCTGGAAATACAACTGATAGTAAGTGCAGGACTTGAGAAAAAGTGCAAGGCCTGAGGCGAAGAAACTCTGTGCTTTATGCTGTTCTATTCACATACATTCCTATAATCTGGTGGACATCTCACTAGTTGCTATGCATTTTCTCACAGATGTTAGATGTGTCGTATTTTTCATTAAAAATTATAATGTGACAGCAGATTAGAACACTTTATGGTATTACAAGGCTTAAGATGCACTGGCACATCTTATACCCAGGAGTGCGATTATCCCATGGTAACACTCACCACTTTAATTCCCAGGCCTACCTCTGCCTCCAAGACCTTCCTCCAAGATCCCTCTTGAGGGCCTTTATAATGGGGTGGAAGATGTGTAATTGCAGGCAGAGAATGATGAACATTACCCTTTTGCTACTCTGTGTCACCTAAGCAGCTGCCTTGCCACAGTACTTGGGGAAATATGTCCTTTTTCTAATACAGCACTTACCTTGAAGCAGCCTGGTAATTAGATATGTACCTGTTCTTATTAAGGGGGGGGGGTTTACAAAGAGTAGGGGCTAACGAATCTTTGACTGTAAGAACCTAGAAAATGACATGGTACAATTTTATTTGCGCCACTTCCAGCTTTGCTAAACAACTATGAATCCATTTTCAAAGGCTGACATCACTGACAAGAAAATGGACTTTTAGAATTAATTTCCTGGCAGTCACAGTCACTAGCATAGCTATCTTATTCTTTAGAAAAAACAGACAATTTCATGAAACAGAAACTTCAATCCTGTACTCGTATCTATCAAAAATAAGGCCCATTGAGTTCCTGTTGCCCCTTGGCAAGACAAATGCCCGTGTTGTCAACCTCAGATACTGACAGCAGGCAAAGCTTTAGGTCCCTGAGAATGGGCATCTAAATACTCAGCTCCCTGTTATGTAACACAGGCTTCCCACTGAGGGCAACTTTACCACATGTGCCAAAACGGTTTCTACACTCCCTCCCAACACAAAGAAGATCCAGTTGATCTAAGAAGCCAAATTGGAGGATACAGTTGGCGCTGTGGTCTAAACCACTGAGCCTTTTGGGCTTGCTGATCAGAAGGTCGGCAGTTCGAATCCCCATGGGTGAGCTCCCGTTGCTTGGTCCCTGCTCCTGCCAACCTAGCAGTTCGAAAGCACACCAAAAAGTGCAAGAAAATAAATAGGTACTGCTCCAGCGGGAAGGTAAACAGCATTTCCGTGCACTGCTCTGGTTTCGCCAGAAGCGGCTTAGTCATGCTGGCCACATGACCCGGAAAAACTGTCTGCGGACAAACGCCGGCTCCCTTGGCCTGTAAAGTGAGATGAGCACCGCAACCCCAGAGTCATCTGCAACTGGACTTAACTGTCAGGGGTCCTTTACCTTTTTACCAGTGCTGAAGCAACTTGGTGCAGTTTGCCTGTTAGCATAATATCCTGCTTTGTGGTGAGGTAAGGTTCAGAGGCTGAGGCACCAATATTTTGGCCACCTCTTGAGAAGAGAAGACTCCCTGGAAAAGACCCTGATGTTGGGAAAGATGGAGGGGACAAGGAGAAGGAGACAACAGAGGGCGAGATGGTTGGACAGTGTTCTCGAAACTACTAACATGAATTTGACCAAACTGCAGGAGGCAGTGGAAGGCAGGAGTGCCTGGCGTGCTCTGGTCCATGGGGTCATGAAGGGTCGGACACGACTAAATGACTAAACAACAACAACAAGGTTCAGTGGGGAGGAGCAAGGAGTCAAGGCTCAAGCTGCATGTAGGGCTGGGCTTTGCTGTTGCTTCAGCACTAGCTGGTACCTCCAGTTGCATCTCAGTTTTTAGTTCCACGTGCTCTGGAAGATTGATGCTTCTTCAATTCTAGTAGTCTCCTACTGTGCTGCAATGGGAAAGCCTCTGGTCTCATTGCATGTTGAATTCTCCGAGTCTGAAGATGGCAGTGCTACATACTGGGGCTGGAAAGCCCTGGTCCCACACAGTAAAGGTAAAGGTAAAGGGACCCCTGACCATTAGGTCCAGTCGTGACTGACTCTGGGGTTGCGGCGCTCATCTTGCTTTACAGGCCGAGGGAGTTGATGTTTGTCCGCAGACAGTTTTTCCGGGTCATGTGGCCAGCATGACTAAGCTGCATCTGGCGAAACCAGAGCAGTGCACGGAAATGCTGTTTACCTTCCCACCGGAGTGGTACTTATTTATTTACTTACACTTTGATGTGCTTTCGAACTGCTAGGTTGGCAGGAGCTGGGACTGAGCAACGGGAGCTCACCGCATCGCGGGGATTCGAACCACCAACCTTCTGATTGGCAAGCCTAAGGCTCTGTGGTTTAACCCACAGCACCACCCATGTCCCTGTCCCACACAGTAGGACATGTCATTTTAGCAAATGAAACTTTATTTTTGCAAATAGCTTCAGTGAGGGGTGCTGTGGGTTTTTAGGGGTGAGGAATTTGAACCTGCTATTATTTTTGTGATTGGCCAACATTTAGCTTGGTAAGTCTCTGTTTGGTGAAGAAGCACATAAACTGCTTTCAGAAAACCAAAGGAGTTTCATTTTGCCTTCTGGAAATGTCAGGCAATGCTTAATAATAATAATAATAATAATAATAATGTTAATATATAAAATAACTGCAAGTACTTAGCAATCATTTTTAATGATTTCTATGCAATTTTACACACATTTTACTAAGAAAGTAAAACTCAATTATATCAATTTAACCAAAATATCTTTTGAATTCCTAAGTCATGTTACAACTTTTTAGCACTGCTCATTTTTAGCATCCTCCCATACTTCATCCCATTGGGTTTGGTTCAGTTCTCTCCAAGACCATTTCTGCATAGTAGCTTAATAGCATTCATTCAGTTAGGGAATGGGTGGAAGATAGTGGGTGGAATTCAACATTGTACTAAAAGGATCATTCTACCAGATAGAATGTTCTCCCCTCTCTTCCTGTTGGGCACCATTCTGGCAATGGCATACGAAGGGGGTGGGGTGGGGAGTGCACTGCCCCAGGCACCATTTGGGGGAAAGGGTGCCATCACGGCCACCCCCCGGACGTGTGCCACATGCTGCACAACCCCGGATGCGTGTTACGCCCCCGCGGGTGATGTGCCACACCCCTGCGCCACTCGCCATGCCCCTGTGCTGCTCACCACGCACCTGCGCCACTCACCACGCCCCTGCAGGTGACACAGCACACCCCGGATGTGTGCCACGCCCCCAGGACATGCACCAGCCATGCCCCCGCTTGTTCTCCGCTCTGGGGGCTGCAGTATGTTGCTCCGCCACTGCGTTCATGGGATTCTCCTGACCCTCCAGAGCAGATGGCATGGGAGGAGAGTGGGGGAAAGCTCCATTGGGCTAGCAGAGGTTCTTGTGGCTTCCACTAGCACAATGGGTTAATTGAATATAGCCCAGAATGTTATATTCAACTAACGACCCTCCGGTGAAGATTGGGAGCAGGTGGGATAGCTCTGTTGTGCTAGGGAGAGCCCTTGCTTTGGATTCTGCTACTGCACTGGATTAGTTGAAACTGGCCATATATTTTAAAAACAAGACCTTTATACCCTCCAATACTAAGCGATCAAATGGCATAAGGGCCACAAAGTGGTTTGTGCATTCACAGAGATGTTAGAGATAAAATATTTAAGCTGGGTGTAGGTTGATGCCTTCACTTGACATTTCCCCCCTTATTCTTCCACCAATTTTGTTTGTTTGTTAAATTGCTTTGAGGTGTTTTATAGAAAGCAATTCACAAATGAAATTAATACACACATACAAACTGTAGGCAAAATAGCCATTCCATGCAGTCAAAAGCCTTTTAGGCAACAAGCATAAAAATGGCGAGATACTTTTTATGTGTGTTACTATGGATAATAAGGTTGAGGAGACACCAGATGGGCAGCATGGACCCGTTACTGTACATATAAGCAACCAACATATGACAAAAATAGGTTGACAAGTCTATTATCTGCAGATATACATGGCCCCACTCAGCAGAATGCCCAGAAGCCCCTCCCCCCATGCATCAAAACTGGTGCGCCATGTTTTTAAGTAAATATAGTAGTATTTTCCATCTAAAGAGATCACACACCCATCATACCATGAGTTCAGAAGCTAAAATTATCCAACTACACCACTGATGGCATCTCAATGAATACTCTTGTCTGCCAGCTTCATGCAGTTGGTGGGTAGCATTGGAGCACTGTCTGCTTCACTCCACTGCTGAAGTGACTGGAGGGAGGAGGAGTGCATTGTCTCTGAGTCTGGCACCTGCCCATTACTTTCTGCTTTTGGATATTATTAACTTACTGCTTTATATTCATTCATTATTTCTAGACTGCTCTTTCTCCCATGGGACCCCAGGGCAGTGGACAGGGTAATCCCATAAAATTGGAGTTAAAATTTAAAAACATACCTAAAAATGGATTCCACAGCACAGCAGTCCATATATATATAGTTGAAGATCACCATCATCTCCCCATAAAGCCCTAGTGAAAAGATGTGTTAAGATGTGTTGAAGCCAGAAAGTTGTCTAATTCCAATTCCAATTAAACTTTTTATTGCACTAGCCATAGGCCATGGCATCATTCAGAAGAAGAACCAAAAAACCAACCCCCCCCCAAACCCAATAACCATAAAAATCATAGGGCACAGACATACAATAAAACCACAGTCACGGCTTCTAAAATTATTTGTTGCATTAAATAGAATAGAATAGCAGAAGATTCTCAGGTAAGATGTGCCAAATTAAATATCCGAATCCCCTTTGCAGTTGACCGCTATTTTGTCTAGTTCCTTCCTCCTGATCTTCTTAGGTGCCAGCGCACAGAGTGCTACTTTATAAGTAACAAAGTCGTCGGTGTCGCTCAGCAGCCATTTCACCCTTTCCACTCTATTCAAATGTGTTCCATGCGTAAACAGGGGTTTTATAAATCAGTCTCTTGGGTCTATATATTACGGGCACTGCAATAAATAATGGCACAGGTCCTCGACGCAGGGTTGTCCACACAGACAGAGTCTCTCTTCATAATGTACTTTGCCGTACTGTCCATCCAACACCACTGAGGGCATCGATTGGAATCGTAGTTCTGTAAAAGCGATTCTTAGTACAGCAAGCTTTGTCAGGTATCTGGCTCGGGCCAGCTCTGTTTTGATAAGCGGGAACCATGGTGAGCTCTTGGTAGAAGCAATCATGGTTAGATCCCTCAGAAAGTTGTCAGTGAAGGGGACAATGCCTGCTGGATCATCCCAGTGGCTCTTCCATTTTAGCATCCTCCTCTCACAGTGGCCATAAGTTGTCCGTGGGAAGCTCGAAAGGAGAATCCGAGTGCAGCAGCAGCCTCGCCTCCTGCAGTTTCCAGCAAATGGTATTCAAAAGCATGCTGATTCTGAAGAATGACAGATGAAGGTGATGGACTATATGGAATTGGCAGAAATGACTGGCAGAATCCGAGACCAGGGAGAAGAGTCGGTGGAAGAAGATTGGAAGAAATTTAAAGACTATTTACAGAAATATTGTAAAATTAATGAATGACAGAATGATGTTGGATAGTAACTAAGCGGTTTCTAGCTGTAATGCTTTAAGAGAATATGAAAAAAGGGTTATAAATGGGTTAAAATCTAATGGTAAGGATTTGCTGAACCAATAAATTGAAGTGGAATACAAAAAAGGGAGGTACGAGGAGGTCCGGGAAACAAGCTAAAGGAAGATAAGTAATTGAAAATATGTGTGTTTTTAACTGTTTTTATTTTGTATTTTTCTTTTTTCTTTTTCATTTTTACTGTTATATTTCAAAAAACCTTAATAAATATCTTATAAAAAAAAACAAAACAAAAGCATGCTGATTCTGACAGTGGAGGTACAGTGGTACCTCAGGTTACAGACGCTTCAGGTTACAGACTTCGCTAACCCAGAAATAGTACCTCGGGTTAAGAACTTTGCTTCAGGATGAGAACAGAAATCGTGCTCTGGAGGCATGGCAGCAGCTACAGTCGTGCTTCAGGTTAAGAACAGTTTCAGGTTAAGAACGGACCTCCAGAACGAATTAAGTTCTTAACCCGAGTACCACTGTATTAGGTTTACGCATTTTTTTTTGACACAATTTACAGTGTTAAAAAGTGGGTCTTAGAACATTGAATGTAGGTTTCACAAGGACCTTTTGCATACCTTTTCCATATGCTGTTTGCTGCCTGCTCACAGTTGCTTCTTTTCCTGACCTTCAGCTTTGGCACCTTTTCTTTTTTAAAAAATGTTTTTGTTTTTTTTTAAAAATACCTTCTTCCAGGGGCATATGTCATAGGCCAGGCAATCTACTCCCAGTAAAATAAAACTGGCAGTGATCCACCCATTGTCATTGCCAGAATTGTTCAGCTTTTTTGGGGGGGTGAGGGTGGAAAAACAAGAGTTATTGAGCTTTTGGGTCTTCTGTGAGTGCTGTGAATGCAAGACTCACAGCATTCATAAGGGAACAATTGGACCAAAAATTATTAAAAGAATGGGGATGTGCTAAAGAGTATATGAAAAAACGTTCTGGACTAAGCATATTGGTATGTAACGAATGAAGCTTTGTAGGGTTAAAGAAAGAAAAATGGTGCAAAAAGGTTAAAGACAGAGGTAATCTACATTAGACACAACAATTTAGAAAGAGTAAAAATTTTGGGGTCTTAGAACAAAGGAAGGAAGTCAATATGTGTATATGTACATAATGATTAGAATGATGATATGGTTTTATTTGTAGATGTGTATTTTTGGTTTTTGTTTGTTTGTGTTTTTTTCTCTCTTTTTTTTCTTGTTTGTATTGTTTTATTTTGGATTCAATGTTTGTAATTTTTGTTGTAATTTTGCATTGGGGGAAAAAAAAGAGTTGTTGAGTTTTTTGGGGGGGGGGCAGACCTGTTCAGCTTCTTCGATGATCGAATACAAACACGAGCAAATGAGAGCAACCACGATCACCTGGGGATCTACGGGTTAAACATGTCTATCATAGTCAATATGATGATCTGTCATTACATTGGCAATATCATAAAGTCTAATCAGAGTTAGGGTAGCAGACATCAACCTCATTTAACAGGCTGCGTTGCATCATCAGATTTGGTGACATGGAATGGAATCAGGGTAAGGGCAATGCCTTAAAAAACATATTATCAGAAGTATGGGGTGCGTTTTATTATGGATAATATTTTTCATAAAATTGCCTCCCTCAGATTTGGCTCAGCTTTTAAGGGGTACAGGCAGGGGGTTATCAAATCGATTTCACACCTTTGTTTTTTTGAAATAGAAAATTATCCGAGTCCTAGATCAGTTCAGATGAATTTCCAACAAGTATCCCTCTTGCTCAGACCATGGTATATCTGTTTCCTATATGATGCCCAGTTTTACATATGTCCAACTGAGGTCATGGTTTGTCCATCAAAGAACAGGATCTCTCCAGTAACTACCTCTGGCACTGTGTCACCTCAGATTTAGGTTTCGTCTGGTGCTTATCCACGGAGTCGTTGACATTGTTAGTAAACTGTTACTGACACAGATGGAGCTTAAACGGGACTTCTGAATTTCTCAGTTGGTGACCATATGGTTGATGAAATATTTAATGATCTTCCTCTGCCTAGCCTCTAATTATAGAAAATCTGTTTAGAAAAAGACCATCATTGGCTTAAGAGAACAAAGCAAGTTCAAAGGAAAAAGAAAACCCCTCTTGCTCTGAACTCAAACTTTAAATGAGATTGATTTTATTACTTGAAAAATGTCATCAATGCCCACAGTTAACTCACTACTAAATTTTAACTTTAACCCTTAGATTAAAAAGCTTGTCTTCATTTTCTACCTCCATCCCGAGCCAATATATATATTCTTAAGCCCTTTTATCCTTAGTGAAAATAAGCCACTTTCAATGATGTATCTAAGCTGTTCTCTAGACAAATTGCCCATCATGCGCTAAAACTGTTCCCACATTCAACCCCTTCAAACTGCAGGCATTGGATTCAACCGAATTTCCTATGCAAAATCATCCCTGTGCCTAGAAAATTAGTGCATCCTGGAGAAGGGTAGTCTAGAACTCTTTGCCTTCCCATCCAGTTTTCTACATGCAATGATGTTTGGGGGGGAAAGAGGGAGCAAAATGTGCAATACTGTACATTTCTATTCAGAAGCAAGTCCTACTGAATTCAAAGAATTCAGAAGAAAGGGGGGAATTCCTTTTTAAAATATTGTAGTAGTGGTTCTAGGTTTAAACTGCTGTTATGCCTTTTTCCGAGAAATGACAAATAGCTGATATTGTTGGTGTTTACTGTATTTTAAATTATGATTATTAAATGTGAAAAAGCAATTAAAATACATTAAACACACACACACACACACACACACACACACACCCTACTGCTGGGGCAAACAAAAGAACTGAAAATCATGTCATTAATCTATGTCGGAGATGGTCTTCAATACGTTTCCAGAGCTCACTCATTCAGCCAATATTAGCTGTTTCCCCACCAGTTGTAACTCCAACTAGCAATTCAAACTGGACACTGGCAAACTTACACGCCTTTGTCACAACCAGATTTCTCAGGATAAATCACTCCAATAAAGGCATTAGGGATCTCAGCTGGCCTTTCTTTCAGGCTTTACCTAGCAATGACAAATTTGTTTTCTTCATCTTGTCAATCTGGACTTCCATCAACTTGAAGTGCAAGACAAATAGCTGTTTTCAAGATCTGAGCTACTTTCTCCATTTCTACCTCACCGGTGATCTGTAGCATCTCTTTGTATATTGTCTGGATTTCTGCAACATAGAGCTGAAGCGGGGGTTTGCAAGTTCTTAAGTTGAACAGGATATCATTTAACTGCTCTGGTATTGATTGTGCTTACAGTGTCACTAATGGACATGCTAGCCATGAATGAGCGAGCTGTGGGTGTTTCTATAAGAGAATCATTGCACAAGTCAATACATAAGGAAAGAAGGCCATTTGCAACATGCACGGATGCTGCTTCAGAATTTTCACCCATGGATGATTCTCAGATCGTTGTTCCAATAATCTTGCGGTTTTATGTGTTTTTGATTCTGAATAACTAATAACCAGTCCAAATTCATTTTGCTACCTTTGTACGAACCTCGGTTTTCCTGTGTTGATGGTGAAGACTGCAATTCTTGTATTTCCTCACTTTAAATATCTGTAGCAGAAGCCGAAGTAACAATAGTTTGTTGTCTCTAAAACATGTTCCAAAGCAGCAGTTAGTGTTATAGATTCAGTGGATCTCCCTGGTGGTATTGTCACTGGAACTGCATTGGGGTGTTGCAGAAGCAATGATATATTTAATTAATACATGTTTGTTTGTGTTCTAAATTCTTTCTCAAATTTTATTTCCTCTTTCCCTGTTTTTTGTTGTAATCACTCAGATCTGAATACTTCTTATGAAGAGTCTAGTTTAATGCATGAAGATTTACCTAACAACCTGTTCAAAAAACAAAAACTAATTTGTAGTAGATTGTCTTTCTTTTCTTTTTATGGAGAAGAATCAACACTGTGTGAAAAGTGAGACAAAAATGTGATTTTGTGGGATACAAATCTTTTTTTCTTAAAATTCCAAGTAAGGGGGGAAATGGCCAGATTGTGGACACTTTAAAATTCTCTTAAAAAACGGCATGGGGTATTTGTGACAATGGCCAAACTGATGTGTGTTTTCCAGAAGTTTCTTGATGACTTGGATGGTTGAGGAAAATCTAGTATTGTTGCCTGCCCCAAGACTGTCTTTTTCTAAACTTTGGCACAGCTTCCCAAGCTCTTCATGTCATTAAAGTATCAGTAAACTGACTATAATTGGTTTGACAGCTAATAAATAGCATACATGTATGGGTAAAAATTGGCATTGGTCACATGATAGGGAATATTAGGAAAGCAATTAATAATCTTAATTAAAGATTAACTTTAAAAATAGCTCAACTTTCCAAAGACCTTTCAACAGCAAAATAGCAAAATGGTAGACAGAGGTGGAAACATATAGACTTAGGTCATATACTTACTGGGTTGGCAATCCTCTTCTTATGGCTGAGTAGAAGGCACACGCCTTTCCCTTTTTGCACTTTTTGCCACAAACAAAGTTGTTGGCAACTCTGGGGAGTGGGTTGTTGTCATTTGTGCAATACATCTGGAGGGCACTGGATAGGGCTGGGCAATAAATCAATATATTGTCCAAAACCAGTTTGAGGTCCATACCGTGATATCAAGTTCATAATTTTTGACCTGACAGTATATCATGAATCATGACGTGTGTGTGTTATGCAAAAATCACAATGTGGGAAAAACCGTGAAGCCACTCAATGCCTCTACATAGCTCCATCCTTATTTCCAATATTGCGATGTTTAGCTGGTTGACATTGCACAATGTTAAAAACCAGATATTGCCCAGCCCTACTGTTCACCTCAACGTAGTTCCATCCTTATTTCAGACATCATGCTATATTGATATATGGCGATGTTTAGCTGGTGATATATCGCAATGTTGAAAACCAAATATTGCCCAGCCCTAGGACTGGATTGGTAAAGTCTGGCACATTTATTTAGAGTTAAATCCCAGAGAGTTCAAGGAGTGAGCGTTACTGAGTAAAATTGTTAAGGATTGCCAGCCTTCGTTTGTTTACCTGTTGGATGTCTGAAGATGCTTAAACGTTTGATATCTTGAAGCTCTACTACTTCTAGAATCTACCTAGAGATGTCTCTCAGACATATGGCTAGCATCTAGCTTTGTCACTAAGGAGGTAACTGGTGCCTGGATTGTACCACTTCAGACTGCAGGACAGCTTGCATTACAGAACATGCCTCCATAAAAATAAAAAATCCCCTCAATGTTTAAAGCTTGAATGGCTGAGAGAAGAACTACTCTTGACAGGTAGTTGTTCTCTGTCCTGACCTGATCATGAGAAGATGTGTCTATTGCTCCCCTATGGCTCCATCTCATACCAGTAGTGTAAAAACATGGGAAACAAGAAGTGGCAGGAACAGGGGGTGAAGGACTGTAGTTCCATGGTGGAATAACTGATTTCCATGCAGAATATCTTGTGTTCAGTCCCCAGTATCTTCAGGTACAGGGCTGGGAGAGAATCATTTCTGAGTTCCTGGAGAGCTGGTTCTAAGTCAGTGTAGACAATCCTGACCGAGATGGTCCAGTAGTCTGACTCAGTTCAAGGCAGCCTCCTCTGTTGCTAATCCATCAGTGGCCAGTAGCCTCTGCCAGTTGGTGCTGACATAGTATTGACTTCATATAAGGAAGCTTCATATGTACCTGGGAGTGACCATGTTAGCAAAAGGGTGATTTGGGTTTCTTGCAATAAGATCAGCTGGCCTCCCTTGTGTTCTGTACATTATTCCACTGGCAGAGTGTTGTGGGGTGGGGCCATGGGGAAGCAACAACTGTAGCATTCCTGGAATGCAAAAACCAGGCTTTTGTTCTCAAGACACACACACACACACACACACACAGAGAGAGAGAGAGAGAGAGAGAGAGAGAGAGCTCCCCAAATTACCATTATGGAGGCTTTCCTTCTAAATAATGAAACTGACAAAATAATTAATACATAACCAACAATGTCAGCACTCAAGAACAGATACTCGCAAGACATACACATATGAGAAAAGTAAACATCTCTTGTTTTCCCTTTTGTGCAGAGACATAAGCAGCAGATTAAAGGAAATAATAAGATTAAAGTACCTAAATCAGCTGAGGAAGGTGTTTTCATGAAAGGAAACACTAAGAGGTGAATCCCGTGAACAAATTAAGTTTATGTATCGTGACAGATGTAAGGAAGGCTAATGAAAGGAAAGCTGGCAAGTGCCTTTGGGAAACAGTAGTAGGTAGGTAGCCTCGGGGAGGGTGTGGGCAGGGCAGAGAATACAAGAGAAAACGCTAGGTGATTAAAAGACGTTCCAAAGGGCAGCGTCGAATGCATTATTCCTGGTGGCGCATCCATTTTGAGCTTTGCTAGGGTTTACTGTAATTGAAACACGGGTAACAACAAGAAATGGCAGTTGAAGGGAAGCCTGAGGCCATTCTCACTGCAGGTGCGCACTAGCTGCCAGTGCATTAATCATGAAGAATTACTGCAGGGGAAACCGTACTGTCCTCCGAAGAGGACAACTCCTTCTGGCCCTGCAGCTTAGAAAGAACAACGAGGGGCAAAAGTTGGACCTAAGTGATTATCCTAACAACACCCCGCCTCACGGAATTGAAGTAAAAAATTGCTTTGTCCTACTTTCAGAACCTTCAGGAACCTTTCTCACCTCCCGTGATTTGGAAGGTCTGCCCTGCTGAAATAAGAGAAGACTCTTCAGTGTTGGTATTTTGCTGGCTCCGTACCTGTTTAAGCAAGCATCCCCTTGAACTGGAGTTTGTTAAATTGTTTTAATTGTTGCACTTTAAGAAGTGTTTGAATGCTACTGTGTATTTTGAAGTATGGATTTATTTTATAGTTGCAAACCACGTAGAAGCCATTTTGTCAAATAAGTGGAATAGAAATTAATAACTTATTAACTAACCTCAGGAATTTTGCATGTCAAGTGAAGGCCAGAATAACACACATGTAAGTACATTGTATCCCAAACCCTTTTTGGGTTGCTGTTGTTTTGCCACGGGCTTCCTACATTCTTACATTGTCTCATTCAAGGCCAAACTTTATGTGTTGAAGACATCTGTTCAGGGTTTTGTTTCTTTCTTTTTAACAAACAAACAAACAAATAAATGCAAATAACATTAATTTGAGAGGCTCGCAATTATTTGGACGTTGTGAAATACATCTCCCCAAGCACTGGAAAGCCAGCACCACTCCGGATAGACCAAACTGGAATGGATGGAAAAATAATTTTATCTGACATAAGATGAGTAAACAAACATAGCAAGTGGAGCTTGTATTTGTATTGCCTTTAGCAGTATGTAACAGTGTGAGATCTTGGGTGGCAACCCTTGAATTCAGACCTAAGATGTGTTAGCATGTCCTTACTTTCATTATGAACTATTGGAAGATATGTTTGTATGCTTAAGCACTCAGGGCATAAGTGGTGACAATTATTTGCATAATTTCTCAAAGCCCTTCATGTATTTTATCTCGGTAATTCTTGCAACAGCCCATTAAAGTAGGCCAGTAGCATTCTCCGACCTACATGATGCAAATGTTGGGCTGAGAGAACAGTGGCTTACCTAGTGAGCAAATGGCTAATATGAAATTTGAACCATTGACTTCTCCACACATTCTTAGCCATTATGGTAATGCTGCACATAACATGCTAGATCTGTCTCGCCACAATGCTGTAACAGCTCTCAAAAGGCCATGTCATTTCTCCCCCTCATTGTCGATTGGCTTCTGGCCTTCTATGGCACTAGTAATGCATAAATCCCATTTATCTAACTTTTAATGAAAGTATCGCGCACATGTTTCAGATACACTCAAAGAGAAGAGCTGTCTTGACTTCAGTTGTCTCTACATCCATGAGGAAGTGCAGTTGAAGTGTTCAGAGGTCTGACTCTGCACTTTTGGCTAATCAGGGCAATTTTCCTGCTTGTCATGCATAACATTACTATAGCTTGAAGCAGTTAATTGGATAGTTCTTTACTTAGATAACCCCAAAGTGAAAGGATTGTGGAGCACAGTAGATTAGCTGTCTGCATCAGAACTGCTGATGACAGTCTGCAACATCCAGCAGAATTTCTTGAGTGGCAGTCCTCATTACATGGATAGGCTTTCCTCATTACAGTTACACATTAGATCTGTGCTAAGCACCATCCATTAAATGACAGTTTAGGCCTCTAATTCTGCAGACTCTGAATATTTGTTTTGCAGTGCTCAGTAATGCTTAATTAGAGCTCCAGAAAGGCTATGGGGACTGGAAAGGGTAAATTTATTTACATATATAATCAGCCCTATCACAGAGGTTCAGGGTGGTTGACAATACATGCATATAGAATTGTCCATGATGCACACACAAACACTTCACATTATGCAAGGCCTTGCTTATTTTCAGATGCATTCCCACCAAAGGCCTGGAAACGATGCCTTATGAGGAACAGCTAAGGGAGCTGGGCATGTTTAGCCTGGAGAAGAGGAGGTTAAGGGGTGATATGATAGCCATGTTCAAATATATAAAAGGATGTCACATAGAGGAGGGAGAAAGGTTGTTTTCTGCTGCTCCAGAGAAGCGGACACGGAGCAATGGATCCAAACTACAAGAAAGAAGATTCCACCTAAACATTAGGAGGAACTTCCTGACAGTAAGAGCTGTTCGACAGTGGAATTTGCTGCCAAGGAGTGTGGTGGAGTCTCCTTCTTTGGAGGTCTTTAAGCAGAGGCTTGACAACCATATGTCAGGAGTGCTCTGATGGTGTTTCCTGCTTGGCAGGGGGTTGGACTCGATGGCCCTTGTGGTCTCTTCCAACTCTATGATTCTATGATTCTATGATTCTATGATTCATTTGCTACTAAGGCTGCAGATAGAAGAAGCATGAACATCTTCAGGGTTGTTGTTGTTGTTGTTGTGCGTGTGTGTGCAAACCTGGCCTCTACCCCGCCTTGTTTCTCAATAGGGACAGGCCCAGCATCTTCCAACCACAACTAAAACCCTCCTTTCCCTGGCTTCCCCCAGCCATTTCTTGTTTTTCCTGCAGTTAGTGACTTTCACACACCCCTCTGCACCCCACACCCCACAATAAACAGCACTGAACTGTTTGGTTGTCATACACAACTGCAACTCCCCCCTCCCAACAGAAAAATGGGTCTTGCAATGCAGGATTAGTTAGCAAGGCTGGTATAATCCACATACTCTCAGCAATCACACCATTCCCATCAACATGGGTAAAATAATAATTATTATTTTGCATTGTTTTGTGGGATCTTATGTCTTATTGTGCCTGCATTCTTCTTCGGCGATCACTGGTAGCTGAGTAGGATTTTCTTCTATAAACATGGTTTTAACAGTGAGCCCATAAGTGACTGTGGAGGCCAATTCTGGATCCGCATGTCCTTCCGCAGTGGGGACATTGGTTTCCGGGCAGGAGTTGATCACAGTGTGGATTTGCCAAGCGTGCCTTCCTCTTAGCACGTTTCTCCCTTGTGTCCTGAGTTTGAGTGTCTTCAAAGCCCATGACACCTTTGGTAAAGGCTGTTCTCCAACAGGAGCACTCGCAGGCCAGTGTTTCCCAGTTGTCAGTGTGTATACTACATTTTTTTAGATTTGCCTTGAGATAGTCTTTAAACCTCTTTTGTTGACCACCAGCATTATGCTTTCCATTTTTAAGTTTGGAATAGAATAGTTGCTTTGGAAGACGATCACCATGCATCTGCACAACATGACCAGTCCAACAAAGTTGATGTTGAAGAATCATTGCGTCAACACTGGTGATCTTTGCTTCTTCCAGTGCCTGCATATATTGTTGTACACTGCCTTGCTATTTCATATGGGTGGTTGGCTTATAAAGCAATAAAAACAGATTCTGTATATGCAGTTAGCAATCTCAAGGCAATGAGCACACACATGGGGGTTGTGTGGGCAATGGCTTTTGGGAGATGGATGAAATAAGACCTCAGAAAGTGAAGGGGTTCCCATCTTTGCTGCTACTTTTCATACCTTTTGCCCAAGCACAGTTACACTAAACTTCTGGGGAAAATTCTGAATGGTTTTTTGAAGGGGCAGCAATCACTTCTCCATCAGGGAGAAAAAATGACTTTATACCAAGCCAAGAAGTTTCATATCCAGACAACAGGCCTTTCACTTCTTTGCCTAGTAGGCTAGATGTGCTTTCCTAAATGTCAGTCACTGCTGTGGCTTCATTCATTGGCTAAAGGCACTGAAAGGTGGGAGAAAAGCAGTTTTGTGAGAAGCAATTTTCACCCAGTAAATGAGGATAATAGTGTTTGTGCATCTTGCCTCGTATCTCAGGTTTAAAACAAAAGTTAGGATAGGAATCCAGGGAATATAGCTCATCTCAGCTGGAATGCATCCTTGAGTTGTGACAATGGCTATTGCTTGCCTGGATGGAGAGGAATGGATGGCTAGAATGTTGCTCACTGTACAAAGCTAAGAGTCACAGTTGTTGTTCCATCTGCATTTTTGTCTTGGCTTGCCCACCGCTGGTCAGTAGCCAATTGCCCACATGGGAATGCAGCCTTCAGGCTGAAAGAGGTTGCCCATTCCTGATCTAGACATTGTGTTGGCTAGGACAATGTGAATGTAGTAGGTTTCTGACCTCCCAGGCTAACATCATTTTCCATTCAAGTGCGAAACATTTTGGGTATGTAAAGATGAAATCCTCTTTATAGTGTCTGGCAGCAATATGAAAGTTCTGTAGAGTATTTAAGGGTTCCTAAAGGTGAACAAGCCACAGTTATCCAGTTAATACATGAAGGATTCATTTAACAAGGGAGGTGGGGGGTGACAAGAAGTTCAGATGAATGTGTCATTTAAGCTAAGTCTCAAAACTAAAAAGGAATAGATGGAGTCCGATATTTTAGCAAGTGAGCAATTAAGAGTCTCTCACACCTAGACTCATAGAATCAAAGAGTTGGAAGGGATCCTAAGGGTCATCTAATTCAAGCCTCTTCGATGCACAAATCACACACTGTCCCCCATCCACTTTGAAACCATACTGGACCCTGCTTAGCTTTGCAAATATGCTAGCAATTTTATTGCTGCGCCACTGGGTTCACAGCCCACAGCTGGAATACAAGTATAGGCCTCACCTTCTTGTTCCTTCCTGCAGGGGCAGCCCATCCTGTTTTGCCACCTGATGCAGAAAGGGAATGTGCTGCTTCCTGCTGTGATGAAAAAGTTTGTTTTGCTGGGCAAGTTGGTTCGCCAAGTGTTTTCTTTTACTTTTTCCCTGCCAGCAAATGGTTAATGAACAGCAGCTTCTGATTGGCCGGGGTTCCAGGAGGGGGAGTTGAAAAGGAGAGGATATTGAGATACAGTTTTTTAGGTTGGGATAGAGGTTGGGAAATAGGTAGGGAGATAGGAAGTGAGAGGAGAGAGAGTTGGTTCTGGATAGAAACATCCACTCTGAGGAATATATCAAAAGCTTGAGAAAGGAGACTCTGAGCTTAGTGTGAAGGACAGTGTGTGGTGTCCTGTAAGAGTAATTAGGCTAGGAATTAACTGGGAGGCTGAGGCTGAGCCAGGAGAAGTAGAAGCTGTGAGAATACTTAGGACTTATTCCAGTCAGGAGGGGAGAGATTCTTCTACAAAGAGAAGACTCCCAAACCAGTTAGGAGGGGTGTGGTGATCCCTTGGGTCTGTTACTTGGAGTACCTCAGGAGTAGGATTGTCAAAGGGGTGTGTAACTGACAGGAAGTTCCACCTTGTTTACGAACCAAAGTATTAAGCGGCAACAGCTGTGCAACAATTGAGAAAGAACTGAAGTGATATAATCTGAAGTATCCTATGTTTTACCAACTTTGTGTCATAAACTTCCTTTGTTTAATAAAACCTTTATGGTTTATTTGATCAAATCCTGCCTGAGACTCCAAATTATTAAGTTTTCCCTCACACGATTCCCCCACAAAATAATCTGGGGGAGCTTGTAGGAATTCGCGGAACTGGTGTTCTGTGAGGTGGGTGCACTATATTTAAGTGAGGGCTGGCCCAATGGCGCCGGGGGGAACGTGCCATGGTGCCATCGCACCTGCCACTGCTGCCCCCCACTTTCACTGCACACTG